CACAATTTCGGGAAGGAAGAATAGAAGAGGCCCTATTTGTAGTATCCAAATCTGAGGCATAACTCATGCTACTATCTATGAGGCAGTAAACCGTGAAAACTCCCCTTGCTGGTAGTTTTCTTCTTGTCTATTTTTTTAAATTATTTATAAATTCAAATTTGAATAAATATAGTAAAACAAAACCTTGGAGTACAGTTGCAAATGTATTTTAATAAAAATAAATATAGCTTAGCTGTAGACGAGTTAGTGTTTTATCGATATTTTTATGTGTGATATCTGATATACCACCAAATATTGCCCACTGTACTGGGGTTTTTCAGTACAGACGAGCAAATAGACGCGCCCAGGGCGTTTCTTGGCTCATAAGATTTTTGTCTTGGCCGTTGTCGTAGCTGCCACAGGCATCGCCAATGCCGTGCGCTCGTCTCTAACCGTAATGACAATGTTGCCTTCATTTCGAAGCATGTTGGTGTGTAGCTGCCGCCTCGTTTGCCCGAGCTGCTTGCCTGCTAATTGAATTTAATGTAGTTTAATTGAGACGAACGTGATTGTAACTAAAAGCGCTTTATGTTTAATTTAGCAGCAACGACGTCAGCGCAGCAATAGCAGTTAAAAGGTGCCTAGCACACATAAGGCCCCAGCCGCTTCTGGAGCATCCAAAGAGTTGACATTATGAGTACTGAAGCTTTTAAGTAGTTGCCATTTAAATATAAATTCAAATTAATTGTGCCAAGTCAAAGTCAATTTGCTATTCTGGGCCATTGCAATATTCTCGTAAGATGCTGGCAAAAACATTTTAAATATTTAACATGATTTTATATGAAAATATTTGCAAAATATTTTTGCCAGCAGCTGTCAGCAGTTTCTTAAGTTTATCTCTCCAGCTCACTGTTAAGCAAATAAATTATGTATTCTCAAAAAGTTTCCAAAATGGAATTGTGTCACACGCTGCGTATGAGTAATGTGCTCTGGACACTATGCAGGGGGCGTTTGTGCATGGCTCAATATTAAAAATATTGAAGCGCAATGCAGCGCAAAATTTGAAATCGGCTGCTGCGGCGCATATTGAACAGCAGCTGTTTGAATTAGCAAGCACAATTTCTTTTTCTTTTCTTTTTTTTAAATTTTTTTTGAGAAGCTTGCAAATATTTTTACCATTACACAAAACTGTCAGGTCCGTGCGCTCAACTGTGTCCCATTGCAATGCCAGACAGCAGCGCTAAACGAAAATGCGAACAACACATATTAAAATAAAGAAGAAGTTGTCAGCTGTATAATAAATTGAATTTCTCAAGCTGGTCATTTTCCGGTTGTATGTAACTCCAGGCAAAAAAAATCCTGGTGGGCACAAACACGCTCTTGCAGGCAAAAGAAGTGGCGCCTGCGCCGGTCGCCGGCGTCAGAATGACACCAGTCACAAACACAATTATCACGCTGCCGCATGGAGACCAAGTTGGACGGACAACAGCCCTCAGACACTGTGTAGTGTCAACGTCGTTGCTTTTAAAATCAAATATCATATTTACAACTTGCTTACCACCATGAGTACGAAACGAATAAAATCTGAACGAGTGTGGAGGCAGGAGCTCAGTGGCAAGGAAAAGCCAACTTTGCCGTTCATGTGTTGAACTAATGGATGGTGTGGGGAGTACAAGTTGATTTTGTGGTAGTATTTTAATTATAACATCAGAAGAGTTAATATTATATATATACATTAACATGAAATAATGGTTAGATACTTTTTGAATCTACCTAATCAAAAAAAATTCTCAGAGTTTACAAAGTTGGCTTTAAGTAGAAACCTACCTAACGTAAAATTAAAAAGATTTCAAGCATCTTTCAACATTTTATGTCGTAGTGGGGTTTTATTTCCGAATAATTAATAGAATTGCTATTGCTTAAAAGAACCGAGTTGCAATAACTTAACTTTAAGCTTTTGAATTTGATTAACTTGTTAAAATAGCGAGCCAATTGTGTGGTATTGGAAGACAAGCAACATCAAACTTATCCAAAAGTTATGATTTTTAAACTTCTGAAAAATCTGGTACAACATTGTTATGTAGCTAAGAGAGCAATAATATAGTTTTATGTACCCTCAAGTCACGTACAAGTATGAACTTTAAGCATGTGGTGTTATCATCAAGGATGATTTTCAACTGTGACATTTTATCAATATATATAGATTGAATATTCCAATTCCAATCCACGAGAGTAACAGTCAATTATATACCATAGCCCGGATTGCCTAATTGCTATGAAATCGCCCCATTTTGTATGCATTTACTGGTACCTATTACAAGTACAAACTTCCCCCCTTCTTATGCCATTCACCATTTAGTTTCCCAAAGTGTACTTAAAGACAACAAAGACCGACCGCACATGAAATGCACAAACTTTTAATAACTAATTAAGTAACAGAGACCGTCCAAGCTGTGGCAAGTTTCTTTATAAAATGGCAAAGTGTACCCACAGTGCCAATGACATTATAAAATGTCCCTAGCTAGCCTTTTGCATTCCAGGCACAAACAGCAGGCAACCGGAAGCGCCACAGCAACAAAACATAAACATTGAGATGACTATAAAAATTTAACTACAGTTGCCATTTTGATGTTCACCGTTTTGTGCAAACCTCTGTGTGCCTGTTGCCGAAAACAAAACACGGTTTTCAATTTGTCAAATTAAAATTGAAATTGCCAACAGCTCGCCTACATGCCAGTCAACGCAGCACAACCCCTGGCAACTCACCCCGCCCAGCACTTGCCAACTTTTCGTGCAATTTGTGCGACATTTTGGTCAACGAAGCAAACTTAATGGCAACCAACTGACAAGCACCCAGGCATTCAGGCAGACAAGCTATAGAATGGCGAAGCACTTTATTACATCGACATGAAACTAACGGACGAGGGTCCAGAGTACGACCACAAAACGGTCGGCATTGTGAATATTTGCTGTAAATCGCAGCGCTCAATAAATATTTAATTATGCAGCAAACACACAGTACACCAAAAAAAAAAGAGAAAAAAACAAAAAATTAAATTACTATTTGTCATTTGCTTAATAAGTTGCGCGCTCATTTACACCATGGGCACGTAGGCGACAAACAAACATATGCGAGTATACGAGTATATGTACTATGGCCAGAGTCCTACCAAATGCCTTCATAGTTAAAACTAACAGCGCGCATTTTATGCTTTTACAACTAAATTTTGTAAACGTAACGTGCTTAAATGTTGAAAATTGAAATTTTAATGCAGCAACGAAATTGCCGCTCACCCACACACATACAAACACACACACTTATGCAGCATTCTGGAATCACGGCGGGTGAGGCGAGGTGGCATGCGTTCACATAGGGTGGTAGTAGTAAGTGGTTGGGTTTAGGTGAAACGAAAGGGGGTGTGGGACGGTGGGGCTGTGTGGGTAAGGACAAACTATTTGCGGTGGTGCTCTGCGGTCAGTTTGTGGGAGCCAATGTTACGCCTGGTGGGTGCCGCATAAGTTTGCGGTCGCATTGCGCTCCTTTCATTTCATTTTGCATAAGTTCTAAAGTACACATCATATATAATTAAATTCGTAAAACGGTCAATTTTGCCTCGTAGTCAGAGTAATGATGAGACGGACAACATGGCCGGCTGCCACACGGAGCCAAGTTAACATGTAATAAGTAATGGGTTTAGCGTTTGGCTTAGTTACATTGAAATTTTATGTGTTTGCCAAAAGCATTCACTGAACCGGCTTGATATTAGTTTACCCAAAATTGGGCAGGAAAAAGCAAATATCTAATGTTGGATATGACAACAAAAACACAATTCCAAGCTAAGATTATTCTACCTGACTTACCTATGTTTATCATCCATCCTTCCGATGGCTATACAACTATATATGAACTTATGGGCCACTTTGGATCAAGCTTACATGTTCATGTTCCCTGGCATGTGAGTATGAAAAAGATATAACAAAGACGGTTAAAATATTGACATTTGAACAACTTCTGGAATATTTCATGCAAATTAGAATCTTATGTAGAATTAAAGTGGATATTCGTTTCTAATTTTTATCGAACCTAAATACATACACAAACTGAAATTATTCAAGAGAATTATACAAGCAGCACCCAATAGGAAAAATTATTATTTAACTGTTCTAAATATATGCAGCACAGTTGTCTCTTAGCAACTAACTAAATTGTTGATCTCGACTTGAGGTTCTTTTTTGAAAATGTTTATATTATTCGCATACTGCATTAAGTCAACTTATCCTTCATGCACGTCTTTACATTTTGCCATAATTAAGCTTTATGGTCATTAAATTGGGCCTTTTTTCATAATAAATACCCCAAGAATCCTCGATAAAAAGCTGTTGATTTAGATGCCCTCATAAAATTACAGGGTCTGATGCAAATTTACGAGTATTTATTTTTTTAAAGGGCCGCTTTATAATGTTTTGCCTAGATTGGCGTGAGGCAAAAACCAGATTCTCAAAGGCCCCCCTCCATGCTTCCTACAATGACACACGGAGCTCAATTTCAACTTGTTGGATGATGGGGGAAGGGGGCTTAGCTGAGAACGGTTCGCCAAATACGCACACAATTCATTTGGAAAATAAATTTGTTCCGCTGTAACGGCCATAAATGCATTTAAATTTATTGGAATACATGCAAGCAAAAACACATACATTCACATCGCCCATTGAATGACAATAAATTATCAATTTTATTTTGACAGGGCAAAAAACCCGCCCAAAAAAAATAAAATAGCATAAAACGCGAACGCAAAATGTCAGACAAAATTGAGCAAAATATATGCAGGCTGCAGTTGTGACAGGAAGTTTCAGTTGAATGGTTCGTTCCAGCGCCCGAATTTGAATTGCATGCCAATGGATATTACTCGTATATTGCTCGCATAGTGAGCTAATGCTGAAAGTCCTTAGATTATAATTTTAATTGCTTGCAGTGTACTTCAATATATAACGTATGGTTTTCTTCTTTTTTTGTTTTTTAGACAATTCCGCCGTACATCCATATGGTCTGGTTAACAACAATAACAACAACTACAACAGTTACTCACATTTTTTGAACGATGTGGCCTTCTATTGCCCATCGGAGGGTCTCTTTGCCGACGACTATGACTGCCGCATTTACTATCGGTGCGAGATTCAATCCAACGACTATATTAGACCCTATATGTTTGCTTGTAAGGAGGGCACGTTCTTCTCTCGCGCCCTCAAGCTGTGCATGCCTCCATTGCTGGCCGGACGTAAAGAATGTGGGCACTTCATGAACGAAATTGATTCAGACGCCCATGCCGATGTTGATGCTGACGGCCAGACAGATAGCCAACTGCTGTATGATGGGCTCGTCAATAATGGCCATAATGTGCTGCTTAACAGCGTGGTCACACCCGCCGCCAACGACCTGCGCACGTATACCACGAGAAATCAGTTGCCCACAAATTACGGCCTGACAGGCTTGAATGGGGTTTCGATCATATCCTTCACGAGTTCACCATCTTTGCGGGCCGCTGCGGGTGAGGAGGAGGGACCCACCTGTGAAACTGATGGATTTATGAGCGATTCTGATGACTGCAGCGTGTTTTATCGCTGCATCTCCAATGGACGTGGCTTTAATAAAATCGGCTTTCGCTGTTCCGAAGGCACCGCCTGGGATGAATCACTGCAGTCTTGTAACCATATGGTTGAGGTACGTGCCAGTGGCGGCTGCCGCAATCAACCCGAAGTGCTTAGTGATAACTATGCGGGACAAACATCAACACAGTCATCGCAATCAAGCTACCAAAACTCCACAATGTCCTCATCCAGCAGTAGTAGTCAACAGAGCAGCTCTTCGACTAGCTCTTCATCCAGTTCGTCCACATCGTCCTCAACATCCTCTTCAACCAATTCATCGGCGAACCAACAAGAATCAAGCAGCACTGAGGGATCTTCAACCACATCCAGCAGCAGTGAGCAATCAAGTTCAAGCACCACAAGCCAAAGTTCTGGCAGTAACCAAAATACCAATTCAAATAACCAGCAGAGCTCCAATAACAATCAATCTTCCAACAGTAACCAAAATTCCAATAATCAGTCCAACCAATCCTCAGGCAGTAATCAGTCTTCAACTGCTACAAACAATCAATCGAATCAAAGTAGCACTGAAAATGCGGCCACTGAGTGCGAGGATGAAAACACATACATTCCTAATAAAGAAGATTGTACCAAATTCTACAGATGTCGTCTAACTGATGATGGAGATTTAGAAAAAGTACCGTTCACCTGTGGTCCTGGCACAGTCTGGAATCAGGAAGATAGAGCCTGCGATGCACCCACCGACGATCAAATGAAATTGTGCAACATAGCTGCGAATGAAAACAACAGCAGCAGCAATCAACAAGCCAGTAGTAGCAACCAAAGTTCATCTACGAGTGCCAGCCAATCGGGCAACGAAAATTCGAACAACCAAACAAATCAGTCGGGCAGCAATCAACAAAGCTCCTCGACTTCAAGCGGTAATCAATCTTCCAACAATCAGCAAAGCTCTTCGTCAAACAGTCAGGGCAGCAATCAAGGCTCATCAAGCTCAAGCTCTAGTAATCAATCCTCTTCTAGTGGTGCGAATCAAAGCTCAGGTAGCTCATCAAATAGCCAAGTGCCTTCGACTACCACTTCGAAGCCTTCAAGCCCTGATGGCGAGTGTCAGCATTCAGAAACATATTTACCGGACAAGAGGAACTGTGCCCGTTTTTATCGTTGTGTGGATAATGGCAACGGTGGGTTCGAAAAGGTTGCTTTTGATTGTGCACCAGGCACAGTTTGGGACCCCGACACAAAAGGTTGTAACCATCCAACAGATGTGCAAAAGGAGCAATGCAAGGCAATGACAAGCGGTAGTGGTTCGACCTCCAACCAAGGATCTTCGTCCAACCAAGGGTCATCATCTAGCCAAGGATCATCATCCAGCCAAGGATCATCATCTACCCAAGGATCGTCATCTAACCAAGGATCATCATCTAACCAAGGATCGTCATCTACCCAAGGAACGACTTCTAGCCAGGGATCTTCATCTAACCAAGGATCATCATCTAACCAAGGATCATCATCTACCCAAGGAACGACTTCTAGCCAGGGATCTTCATCTAATCAAGGATCATCATCCAATCAAGGATCATCATCTACCCAAGGATCGTCATCCAACCAAGGATCATCATCTAACCAAGGATCCTCATCCAATCAAGGATCCTCTTCCAACCAAGGATCCACATCAACTCAAGGATCCTCATCCAATCAAGAATCCTCGTCCAATCAAGGATCATCATCAAATCAAGGATCCTCATCCAATCAAGGATCGTCGTCCAATCAAGGATCATCATCAAATCAAGGATCATCATCAAATCAAGGATCCTCAACCAGTCAAGGATCCTCATCAAATCAAGGATCATCATCAAATCAAGGTTCCTCGACCAATCAAGGATCATCATCAAATCAAGGATCATCATCTAACCAAGGATCTTCATCTACTCAAGGATCTTCTTCATCATCTACTACCCAAAGCTCTACCTCTAATCAGAGCTCAACCACCCAGTCCTCTTCATCCACATCCCAAGGCACATCCACTATATCAACTACCGAAACCTCCTCATCCACTTCATCTGCTACTGTCACAACAACTCACAAGCCCTTCAAACCGGCAGAAAAATGTGAAAGCGAAGAAACTTTTTTGGCAGATAAAGAAAACTGTTCCAAGTTCTATCGTTGCGTTAATGATGGTAAAGGAGGATATTCCAAAATTCCCTTCACTTGCCCACCAAATACTGTATGGGATCCCCAGGCGAACAGTTGTAATCATCCTGCCCAAGTAGAAAACTTAAATTGTAAAATCATCAGTAGTGGCGAGCAAACATCGAATTCAAGTACAAGCTCCTCATCTAGTACTAGCAATCAGCAAGAATCAACAACGTCATCATCAAGCAGTCAAAGTTCATCATCCAGTAGTACAACAGCAGCTTCATCGTCAACCGAATCTAGCAGCACCTCTTCATCAACTAGTACGAGCGGCTCTTCCACCAGTGGCTCTTCAACAAGCGACAGCTCTACCACCGACAGTTCAACTACCGCAAGCTCAACTACCAGCAGCTCAACCACTGGCTCAACAGCTAGCGGAAGTTCTACTACCAGCAGCTCAACCAGCAGTACTTCTACTACATCTAGGCCCCCATCAAGACCTTCAGGCGATTGTAATGCAAATGGAGAATTTTTGGGCGACGAAGTCGACTGTGCCAGATTCTATCGTTGTGTGAACAATGGTCGCGGAGGATATGATAAAGTTGCATTTTCTTGCGTTTCTGGCACTGTCTGGGATAGTCAAATCGCGTCATGTAACCATGCTTGGGCTGTAAAAGATAAAAACTGTGGAGTAAATACTGCAGTGCAGCAGCCAACAACATCTCGACCAACATCTAGTACGGCGCAATCTACCACAACTGTTCGACCTAATCGACCGCCTTCCGGCACAACCCAGACTCCAAATTCAAATAGTGAAGGTATTTGCAGAGAGGAAGGATTCATTGGTGATCCAAGCGATTGCTCTAAGTTCTACCGCTGCATTAGCAATGGTAAGGGCGGATTCACCCAGATTTCATTTAAATGTGCCGCTGGTACGGTATGGGATCAAGATCTGCAAACTTGCAATCACGATCTTAATATGTGCAATACCAACAGCCCAGAAGGTAGCTCCACATCTACAGAACCATGGTCCACTGCTTCCCAACCCACAACGATTTCAACTACCACCCCCACAACCATTTCAACAATACGACCAACAACCATTTCAACTACTCGCCCGTCAACTGTTTCAACTACACAAGTGACCTCAACATCCCAAACAGATAGCACCACATTTACACCAACCACGACAATACCTCCAAGTACCACTATAATTCCAAATGAGCCTGTTACATCAAGCTTCCAATGCCAAAAGGAAGGTTTCTTTGGCGATGTTGAAGACTGCCAAAAATTCTATAGATGCGTGCTCAACGACAAGGGTGGTTTCGAAAAGCATTCATTCAAATGTGGTAACAACACCGTCTGGGACGCAGACCTCGAAACCTGCAATTACCCTACCGCAGTACAAGATCCCAGGTGCCGTATTGATAGCACAACTGAAATGCCAGTAACATCTACAACCTGGGCTCAGCCAACCTCTACAGGCACACCCCAAACAACAGCTCAACCCACCACTTTAGGGCCTTCAACAATACCGCCAACAACAACCCAAGTACCACAAACAACCACTCGAGATCCAGAGTCAACAACGCAGGCTCCACAGACAACTACACAAATCCCACCAACAACAACCCGAGTTCCTCCATCAACTACAAGCTCGCCACAGACAACAAATTCTGAACCTGAAACTACCACCAGTCTACCGCCAACTACAACGCCGGTACCAAATTTACCACCTGGTACCAAATGCCAAGGCGAAGGTTTCATGGCTGATCCCACAAATTGCCGCAAGTTCTATCGATGTGTGAAAAACGGGGACTCAATTTCTAAACATGAATTTATGTGTGCCAAGGGCACTGGCTGGAATGAAGAGAAGCAAACCTGCGACCACGCTGAGAATGTAGATCGCTGTGCTGGACAAACAGACGCTCCGGAAACCACAACTTTGCCATCAAGTCCAACTGAGACAACGGAAAATGCTCCAACTAGGCCTACTACGACTGAAAGGCCTACTAAGCCACCCACAAATCCAACTACGACAGAAGCCACAACAAAACCAACCACCACAGACAGTCCCACAAAGCCAACAACTGAGCCACCCACAAAACCCACCACGACAGATAATCCCACAAAGCCAACAACTGAGCCTCCGACAAAACCCACCACTACTGAAAATCCCACAAAACCAACAACTGAGCCTCCGACAAAACCCACCACTACTGAAAATCCCACAAAACCAACAACTGAGCCTCCGACAAAACCCACCACTACCGACAATCCCACAAGACCAACAACTGAGCCGCCCACAAAACCCACTACGACAGATACACCAACGAAGCCAACAACTGAGCCTCCGACAAAGCCCACCACTACCGACAATCCCACAAATCCAACAACCACTGACTCACCAACTAAACCAACAACCGAAAATTTTCCAATAACGACTTCAAAGCCTGGATATAATCCCACCACCACCACCGAAGATTACCCCAGCACTACATCAGAGCCTATTAATTTCAATTGCACTGGCGAAGGATTCTATGCTGATCCACAGGACTGCAATCGGTACTACCGCTGCGTAGATAATAATAAAAACGGAAACTATCAAGTCTACAGCTTCCGTTGCCCCAAAGGCACTGTGTGGGATACGTCAGTCGAGACCTGCAATTATGCAGACCAGGTTTCCGGCAACTGCTCGTCGGCAACAACCCTCCGACCAGACACAACAACGAGCACCATAGCACCTGATTCTACAACAATAATACATCCAACAACGGAGGGACCCGCTGAAACGACATCCACATCACCGTTGCCGATTACCACAACGAAATCACCAGCAGAAACAACGACCACAATACGACCGATTGAAACAACAACACAACAACAGACCACGGTAGAGACCACGCCACAAACCACACCACAGACCACACCACAGACCACGCCACAAACCACACCACAGACCACGTCACAGACCACGTCACAGTCCGAACCTCAAACCACGACAGAGTCCGAGCCACAGCCTACGCCGAAGCCATCAACCAATACGACCGCTCCATGTCCACCCACAGCAGAGGGTCAAAACGTATACGTTTGTCCAACTGGCTTCCGCCGGCATCCCAAGGATTGTGGCAGATTCTACCAGTGCAACGATAACTCGGACAATAATGACCTCAACATTGTGGTCTTCCAGTGCCCCAATGGTACTGTTTATCAGGAGGACTCTTGTCGCTGCGGCACGCCTGCTCCCAACGACAGCTGCGTCAATAAAGTTGCCACACGCAGTGCCTTCTATGATGAGGAAACACGCCGTTTAAATATGGTAAGCCAGCTATTACTATTAAACTATTAATCAGTTTGTTTAGAATTCAATTTATAAAAAATTGATATTTGGTAACACTATAGTATAGATAGCAGAGGTCTGGTTAGAATTCAATTTTTTTAAATGTATAATATTTGGTAGAAGCTTAAGGCAAATAGTATAAATACAAACATCCATCAACATGCTCTTAGTTATGGCTAAAGGAGCCTGTGTCTGAATTTTAAAGACACTTTAAAAACTTTAAAAACCCCTGCGATCTTGACAATCCAAATAGGATACAAAGGTATATTGGTATCGAGTTGCTGGGAACAGCTGATCGACAAGTCTTTAGCATACTTTTTTTACCACAACAAAGCAAGTATAACAAAAAAAAACATTTTTGTAACTTGCGCTGTACACACTTTAAAAAAAAAAAAAAAACTTTTTTATTTATTCAGGTACAAATTCGATCAACAGAGCCACTGTGCCCTGAAGAAGGCCATTTTTCACTTAACGATGACGAGTGCAGCCAGCTATTTGTAAAGTGCGATCTTTCGAGGAAGACGGGTCGCGTCGAAGGTCAAATCTACCGCTGCCCACAAGGATTCGCCTACTGGAATGTCAGTCGACGCTGCGAACCTGCTCGGAAACTGAACTGCATACCAACAACTTACAACGTTGGCAACAATATGCCGTTGGAGTGGCTCAACATAGGGCATAGACGTCGCAATCTGCATATATAAGTAGCTTTAGTTTAGTTTTTGTAACTGCCACAATTGTTTACTGCGCATGCGTCCAAGTCAAACCGTCCACAGTTTAGACAGCAAAGCGCATGCCCAGCAAACGATTGGCCAATGACCTTAGTTTAGTGTGTTAGATCAATTTGATTAAGTAAGCATAACGCTTGGGGTTTCAAACAAATTTTTACAAATTTTCGGTTATGGTATTAATTGATTAGCGCCATATTTAACTTTATATTTTGTATGTCTGTAGGTACGTATAGTACATGTAGTTTATACGTACATACACTTGTAATAATGAATGCGCCATGAGCCCGAAAGACTTTTAAATTATGTATGTATGTTTGGAGACAATGTTTAAAACATTGCTTAAACGTTATGCCATTAACAAATCTTTAATATTTAACAAAAAGTCTGCTTTAATTGCTTCTCCTTAACACAGCTGTGTACAGTTGCACAGGCACAGCCTTTACTACACACTTAGGTTGTAGCTTCTTTGTAATAACTGTATTTATATATTAAACACGTTCTGAACGCCATATATATCTTAGACTATGCTTAAATTTAATAATAAATTGAAACATTACAAAAATTACATTCACTGCAGTTTGACATTCATTGTGCTTAGTGGGTTGCAGCAGAGACACAAACCGCAGAGTCACTCAAACTGTATACCAGTCATTTCTTCTTTTTGGCCACGGGAGGCGCCGCCGGATTTTCGCCTTTGTAGAATTCCTTCAGCAAGTCCATCGCTTCCTCAGCACGCACACCCCCAATGATGTCAATCCTAGTGCCCACAACAGCAGCTACATCCACCAACGTCTTACCGCCGAAGCGATCATTCTCGCATCCATAGATTATCTCCTTAACACCGAGGGTGTGCAGCGCCGCTGAGCACATAATGCACGGCTCGACCGTGACCACGACGCTGATTTCGCTGAAGAGTTGGCGTGCAGGCAACCGCTTCTCCCGGCAATAGGCGAGAGTGGTGTCGATGCAAATGAACTCAGCGTGCCTTGTGGCATTCCGAGTGACATTTACCTGGTTTCCGCCCCGCGCTATCACTTTGTCACCCAGGACGAACACACATCCGACTGGAACTTCGCCTGCGTCACGTGCCCGACGTGCTTCCACAAAGGCTTCCTCCATAAACGCAGCCATTTGGCATGGAAAATATATTCGAAACAAAACAATGCAGGAAAATTGCGTTTACTGTCGTGCTGCCAGTCAGATGTTATGTGCCCGGCGTTAGGTGGCAACGCTATGCAAACATATGTGGCACCAACGGCTTCAAAACTTTATACCGCATGCACAGTTGTGTAAATGCCGACAAAGTTTTTAAATAGTTATACCGCTTAGTTACATTATTTTCTCAGTGCATGGCTACAACTTCGTGTGTGTCTAACTAGTTGCAATGCCCAAGGAGCAGTTTCGCGCTTCGGCGCTTAATAAGAAAATCTCACATGTGCAGTTTGGAATAAGCGGTGCCGATGAAATACAGCAAGAATCTTTGGTGCGGATTGTTTCAAAGAACCTATACCAGGGGCAAAGGCAACCCGTGGCCTATGGCGTGCTGGATCGTCGCATGGGCATAAGCACAAAGGATTCCCTTTGCGAGACATGCGGACAGGGTCTGAACGAGTGCATTGGTCACTTTGGCTATTTAGATCTTGCTTTGCCGGTCTTTCATATCGGCCATTTTCGCTCTACAATTAACATACTGCAAACTATATGCAAATCTTGCGCTCATGTCATGCTCAAAGCTGAGGATCGTGCCATATTCGAAAAGAAGTTACACAATCCGAATTTCTCATATTTGGGAAAGAAGGCGCTGCACGCTCAGATGTTGGCCAAGGCAAAAAAAGTCACAAAATGTCCGCATTGCACAGCTCCTAACGGAGGCGTCAAAAAGGGACCCGGTTTGCTTAAAATACTGCATGATCCATACAAAGGGCGCAAGGTTGACTCCCTCTTCACCAACAATCTCGAGGAAATGCTTAACTCCACCGAAAACCGTGATCTTAACCTTACCCTGGGGAGTTATAGCACGGCTGAGGAGCTGACACCGCTCATGGTTCTTGATCTGTTTGAACAGATACCGCAGAGTGACGTAGCGCTGTTGGGCATGTGTTCGCGTGGCTCCCATCCCAAACATTTGATTGTGACACGTGTTTTTGTACCTCCCGCTTGCATACGGCCGTCGGTGTTGTCGGAGGTTAAGGCAGGCACCACAGAGGATGACTTAACGATGAAGCAGAGCGAAATCCTACTCATCAACGATGTGATACAACGCCATATGGCCACTGGTGGAAAGATTGAACTCATCCACGAGGACTGGGACTTTCTACAGTTGCATGTGGCACTCTACTTTCACAGCGAGATTAGCGGCATACCCATCAATATGGCGCCCAAAAAGACCACGCGCGGTATTGTGCAACGCCTCAAGGGTAAGCAGGGACGTTTTCGTGGCAATTTATCGGGGAAACGTGTGGACTTTAGTGGTCGCACTGTTATTTCGCCCGATCCCAATCTAATGATACACCAGGTTGGTGTACCTGAACGTGTGGCCAAAATTCTGACCTACCCGGAACGCGTCAATCCTGCGAATATACGACAAATGAAGCAGCTGGTGCGCAATGGACCAAGCAAACATCCGGGTGCCAATTATGTACAGCAGCGCGGCTCCAGTTTTAAAAAATATTTAGCGTACGGCAATCGAGAGAAGGTCGCCCAGGAGCTTAAATGCGGCGATATTGTGGAGCGGCATTTGCGGGACGATGACATTGTGCTTTTTAATCGACAGCCTTCGCTTCACAAGATGTCGATTATGTGCCATCGCGCTAAGGTTCAGCCACAGCGCACATTTCGATTCAACGAGTGTGCCTGTACGCCCTACAATGCCGATTTCGATGGTGATGAGATGAATCTTCATCTGCCACAGACCGAAGAGGCACGCGCCGAGGCCCTTATTTTGATGGGGAACCAATCGAATTTGGTTACGCCCAAAAATGGTGAAATACTCATAGCAGCCACACAGGATTTCATCACCGGGGGCTATTTACTGACACAAAAGGATGTATTTCTTACCAAGGAGCAAGCCATGCAGCTTGCCGCCTGCTTTCTAGCCAATGAAGACTCAACAATGCATATTGCAATGCCACCACCTGCCATTTGGAAGCCACGTCGCCTGTGGACTGGTAAGCAAATGTTTAGCCTATTGCTACGTCCCAACAGCGCATCCCATATTCGTCTCAATATGATAAACAAAGGGCGCAACTACACGAGCAATTTCGATCTATGCTCCAACGATTCCTGGATACATATACGAAACTCGGAGCTTATGTGCGGCACCATGGACAAAGCCACGATGGGTTCTGGAACGAAGCAGTGCATCTTCTATTTGCTACTGCGCGACTTTGGCGAAGCTTACGCCACAAAAGCCATGTGGCGATTATCCAGAATCGCGTCGTATTTTATACAGAATCGCGGTTTCTCCTTTGGAATTAGCGACGTAACACCCAGTCAAAAATTGCTGCAGCATAAGGAGGCGTTGCTGGATCGAGGATATGCCAAGTGCAATGAGTACATTAAGAAGCTCAGGGATGGCACCCTACAGTGCCAACCCGGATGCACGCCAGACGAAACACTGGAAGCGGTCATGCTCCGAGAATTGTCCGGTATACGAGAGCAGGCAGCTAAGACGTGCTTCAGCGAATTACATCCGACAAATAGTGCACTAATTATGGCACTGTCCGGTTCCAAAGGCTCAAACATCAATATCTCGCAGATGATTGCATGCGTGGGTCAACAAGCTATCAGTGGCAAGCGTGTACCCAATGGGTTTGAGAATCGTGCATTGCCACACTTTGATAGACACTCAGCCATTCCGGCAGCTCGCGGCTTCGTTCAGAACAGCTTTTACTCAGGGTTGACGCCAACCGAGTTTTTCTTCCACACCATGGCTGGTCGCGAGGGTCTTGTCGATACGGCTGTTAAGACAGCTGAGACTGGCTACTTGCAACGCCGTTTGGTCAAATGCCTGGAGGATCTGGTGGTTCATTATGACGGCACTGTACGCAACGCAATAAATGAAATGGTTGACACAATTTATGGCGGCGATGGCCTAGATCCTGTGTGCATGGAGACGCGCAACAAGCCTGTGGATTTAGTGCACCAGTACAATAACTTACGTGCCATGCACCCACGAGGTGAGCAACGGCCACTGCAGGCCAAAGATATACTGGATACAGTGGAAACGCTGCTGGACCTGGACGAGTTCAGTGAGTCTCGTGCTGACTGCAGAGATGACGTAATAAAACACTTTATTTCCGTTGCCGATCGCATTGAACGATTGCAGCAACGCTATGGCGCCTATGGTGATCTCTGCCATGAGATTGAGTCCATCACACGCGAACAAATACTGAGTTTCATTCGCACCATCAATGATCGTTACAATCGTGCCGTGACTGAGCCTGGCACCGCTGTTGGTGCAATTGCGGCTCAGAGTATTGGGGAACCGGGCACACAGATGACACTCAAGACGTTCCATTTTGCTGGCGTTGCTTCCATGAACATTACACAAGGTGTTCCGCGTATTGTAGAGATCATTAATGCAACCAAGACCATATCAACGCCCATTATAACTGCAGAGCTGCGGGACAACACAAACATGGAGTATGCGCGTCAGGTGAAGGCGCGTATTGAGAAAACAACGTTGGGCGAGCTATCCTCCTACGTGGAGGTAGTATGCGATCCATATAGTTGCCATTTGGCCATTGGCATTGACATGGCACGCATTAAAGTTCTTGGTTTGCACATCGATCTGGACAGCATTGTGGCCAGCATTTTAAAGTCACGTCTGCGCATAAAACCGAACCAGGTGAGTGTGTCCACCAAATCGTCACGCATTATCGTCCAAGTGGAAGCATCGCGCATGGCCACCATCAACGCAGAGCTGGCGCGTCTAGCCACCAGCATACAGAATGTGGTCGTCGCTGGACTACCAAACATTCTGCGTGCTGTCATTGCTATCGATGATACGCACCAGCCACCCACTTACAAGTTGTGCATCGAGGGCTATGGACTGCGTGATGTGATAGCTACGCATGGCGTCGTCGGTGAGCGGACGCGCAGCAACAATATTTGCGAAATTTATCAAACACTAGGCATCGAGGCGGCACGCACTGTCATCATGAGCGAAATCACTGATGTTATGGAGGGACACGGCATGAGCGTCGATTGGAGACACATTATGTTGCTGGCCAGTCAAATGACGGCACGAGGCGAGGTGCTGGGTATCACGAGGCATGGTTTGGCGAAGATGCGAGAAAGCGTCTTCAATTTGGCATCGTTCGAGAAAACAGCAGACCATTTGTTTGACGCAGCCTACTATGGACAGACAGACGCCATCAATGGCGTTTCGGAGCGCATCATTCTGGGCATGCCAGCTGGTATTGGCACAGGAATCTTCAAGCTCCTGCATCACCATGAGGACAAGCAGGTACCAGCCATTGAATCAACCATATTCAATAGCTTAGAGCTGAAACCGTGTGCCTAGAATAGGATCAACGATCAGGACATTAAGGTGATAACATTTAACCCCCAGAAGTTGTACAGATTTTTTCGGAAGGGTAGAACAGGAAACAAGCAAAAACTAAATATGTAGTATGTCGAGCAAGAAAAAACTACACATTATTGAACATAAAAACATATCCACAAATTGTTTACCAAAACGTTGTAACAGTATGACAAACTCAATTAACTTCAATTAAAATCTAGATGCAATGAAATTTCTTTTTGAGGATTGACAAAAAAAGCGTGTAAACTTTTAACATGGAATTATAGTAATTAAATTTATCCATAAACAAATATTTGATGTTTTTGTTACATTGGAAGGAATGTTTCCCTATGGGATGTCTTTTCAATGTACATATACATATGTACAAGTATGTATACATTTAATATGTACATGTATGTATGTGTTTATACCTTTTACCTTCTACCTTTTCCCTATTTTAATGTCTCCGACTTGCTGTCTAATAATACAAAACCCAAACTATAAAATATGTAAATGCATTTCAAATGCCTTTGCTTACTTACTAAATAATTCTATGCCTCATTGCGCATGTATTTGATGAGATCGTGCTGCTCTAAAAACAGTTGCGCCTTCTCCGGCCAGTTTGTGTTATTCAAAGCACGCGGACTCGGATGAGGCAGACGGAATGTGGCGATAGCCTCGCAGTACACCGAACGTTTGAGCGTGGTGAAGACATAATCTCCAACAGCAACTACAATTTGCGGTTGCACCAACCGCAGTTCCTGCTCTAAGGCATCCAGACACAGGTCGCGCACCTGCTGCTTGTAAGGAGCTTTCAGTTCACTTGGTGTAATGTTGCGACCGCCAGCATCGAAGAAGGCCAGCGGACAGAAGTTGTGCACGAAGCACTGCTGGGAGAATGTGTCCAAGTTGCCACCTGCCAGCTTCTGGAAAAGTTCCCACAGACGCACGCCACTCGGCTCCTCCGTGGTGCAGTTCAAGCCATTGACAGGGCGCTTGGAATGCAACACTGGCGGCTGCAGCACTTCTCCGGAGAGCTGCATGATATCACGTACTGTACGCACATTACCAAATGGTACCTATTAAAAAGGGAGTGGCTATAAGAATGCTGCTCTAGAATAATTGAATCTGCTGCACTTACCCCAGTCTGACCCATACCATTCGGACCTGGATTCATGCCTATGAACATAATTGCCTTGCTACCATTCAGATAACGACGCAAGTAACCGCAGTGCAATATTGCAGCATACTCCACTGGGTTGTAGGTGCATTTAATGAAACCTCCATCTGGTACCCCAAGCTCTGCCAATTGTGTATTAAGTTTGCGTTCAATGTTGTAAAAGCGTTCCCAAATAGGTTCCGCGAAGAGATTTGAAGGCACAGATTTCTGCGCCTGACCTTCGGCTATGGCGGCAGCCTGCAGCTCCAGCTTACGCTTTAACATTGTTTAAACAATTTCAATGCCGTCAAAAATGCGCGCGTTGTGTTAAAAAATACTGAATAATAAAAATAAACAAACAGATGGTTCTGCGGGTTGCCACCAAGTTTATTTTGCATTTTAGAGCTACGTACATATGTGCATACTTATGTATAAATATCTAATAAAAATTGTGAAAAGAAGAATTATTGCTATTTTTGGCAACGTAAAAACTCATTTAGTTTAATTTCGCTTCCCTTGGCAATTTTTGGCTTAAATTGCTTACAGGCCTTTTCAATGGTCTTCTTTAGAACAGTGCCGAGTATTTGTATGAATTGTTGCACCTACAAGTCAATAAAATATAAATTACTGCCTTGCTAGCTGCACGCAATGTAACACTTACAGTCAACTCACTCTCCGGCAAGCCTAGTTTAACAAACTCACATTGGGGAGCATGTTTTGAATGCTCCTTCCACGGCTCATCTTCAGACTCCCACCCGTCCAGCGTTTTTCCGCATACGAAACATGTTGCGGTGTCATTCTCGCGCTTGGTACCTGTCCAGTAGAAGCCAGCCTCGGCCATCTAGTTCGGAAAGATATATAAATAAGCAAAGGTAAACCAAAGAGTTCCGCTTGATACTTGCTTTTGCTATGCTGCAGGAAGATTCAGCAGGAAAAGGCCAATGTTCAAAGCTCTGCACGCGATGTTTCTCCAGCATATGAAATTCTCGAAACGACTCCATCTTCTGCTCAAGATCCTCGATTGTAGTATCCATATTGTTGATATTTGCAATAAAAGTTTTACAGAAATGTATGTATTAAAACAAAACGAGCAACAAAATTGCGCGTCGTTGTCGTTGTGCCGTTCCTCTACTCTTTAAAAATGCCACTCTGAGCTGGCAGCACTGGCCAACTTCTTTTACAACACTGGTACAGGGTGACAACTGTTGTAGTGGTGGAGGAAATATCAATTGCTTTCATCGATGTTTTTTTTTTTTTTGACACCACCAATCTGTTGTTTTCGTCAGTATTTATTGTTGTGCACACTGTTTGACACTTAAGAAATAAATATTTTTTAAAAAGTTAATTTTAATGTTAATCATTTTAATTTGAAAATATTTACATACCACAGACCGCAAACACCAACCGTTTTTGTTTTTGAGTTAAGGCCAAAAAACGTTTATTCTATACTGCAAACTGCATTGAAAGTGCGTTCATTCTTTCACCACCTGCAAGTGTTGTTGTAGCAAATTGATTTAGAAAAGAAAGCGAAGAGCAGCTCCATAAAATTGCTGGCTGGGTCTGTAGTATCTGCCCCATCGAGGCCTAATTACTTTAGTGGGTCACAGTTGCCTAACCCAGCTTTGAAAACAGATCAAGGACACGAAGGCGTCATCAAGGAAGTAAAATATCAGCGCACACGCACGCCCGCACGCACACCTACAACTGAAATAACAAGAACAGCGAAATCACAGGCCTTGGCGCATTTGGCAATGAAACTGTGCACAGGCAATGTGCTCCAGACTTGAAGGTAGTCAACAGCTCGAGCTGCGCCCCATGGCGAACGAACGAAGCAAACTGAACAAAACAAAGGAAGAAATCAGCAAATTAAATTACGAGCTAATCGAAGAATGCAAGCGCAGTCACGAGGACTCGGTGTTGTCGCGCCATCTTCGCCAAGAACTTGAGAAGTTTGTATTGCGGCTTCGTGCCTGGCCCAACATTACGATAAGGGCATGGTCATTGAGTTGAGCGAGTTATTGATAAGCTATTCATTGGCAAATTACCTCACAATCAGTGTTTTGTGGTTTAATCGCCTCTGAACTCAGCACCTTATCAACAATCACTGCCTAACAAATTCCTGTCCAGTTTATGTTTTGTTTGTTGGCGCACACGTGCCATACACACTTTATTGTCGCCCTCCTCTCTCTCTGTTTCAGACACCCTCGTGAATATAGACGTGATGTTGTCAAAAAGCAGCGCAGTGGTTGCGCACCGCTCTTCATCGCATGTAAACGGGGCGCGGTTGCTATTGCCGAGTACTTAATAACTATATGTGAGGCGGACATCGAACAGCGGGGTCATTTCGAGGCGCCAGAGGATAATAGCTTTCACTATGTCTCACCGCTTTGGGCGGCCGTGGTATCCGGGAAACTGCCAATGGTCAAGTATCTGGTGCGTATCGGCTGTGATATTAATGCCACGTCGGATTCGGGATCAACACCTGTGCGCAGCGCGTGCTACATGACACACATCGACATTGGTGAGTGAGCAACTTTGAGACGCGGTGTAGAGTTTGGCAATCTGATTCAATGAATTAATACAAGTGAGAATAATTGAATTCCAATTTTACTAAATAGATTCATACTTACTAATAAGAGATCTTAAAATGCGCGATAATTAAACAACGCGCTGCTGTAGTGTGTGTTAGGCCCACAGAGAAGTATCTATATAACATCTACATAACATACACAGAAATATAAATGTTTATGCACTGCTCTGAAAGAATATGTTTGTCTCGCCACACAGTGAAATTCCTGGTCGAGAACGGAGCTGACATCAAAAAGCCGAACATCAATGGAGGGACATGTCTCATTAACTCCGTACAATCAGTGCAGCTATGCTTATATCTCGTCCGAAAGGGAGCAGAGATAAACGCCCGGGACATACAGGATAAGACTGCCCTACACTATGCCATACAGGAGCACAGACTGGATACCACAAAGATGTTAATCGAACAGGGTGCTGATCCATTTGCCAAGAGTCGCTACGGCGACGATGCGCTGCGCACAGCGTGTCTAAAAGGCGCCCATCAAATATTCGACTATCTGAAGAAGGAATTGAGCTATGAACCTGTACGTCTGGCCGAGGCACATGAGCTGATGGGCTCGACCTTTCTGGATGAGCACAACGAGTCACGTGTTTGCATTCTCCATTGGCGCATGGCACATCACATAAGGGCAGCACCATATACGCCTTACATTGAGAAGAGTCCAAAGGTACCGTTGCGCGATGCATACGAGAATGCTGTAGAGTTCGCCACACTTGAGGAGCTGGACAACATTGGCACAGACATGGATGCTATGCGCACGCAAAGTCTGCTAATCTGTGAGCGCATTTTGGGCCTCACACACAAGGACATGCTGTTCCGTTTGACCTTTCGTGGTGCCTCGTATGCTGACTCCTTGCAGCTCCAGCGCTGCATTGATCTTTGGCGTTTTCTGCTGGAGGTGCGCGTATCAAACTGGTCCATACTGCATTTTGAAACGTGTTTTGCCGCCCAGGCGCTGGTGCGCCTAATGCTCGATCTACACGTTCGGAATTCCAGTCACATCCGCAGCGATGCGCGCGCCCGTTATCTCCACCAGGACAATCTGCTGCCACGTTTCGAGGATGTGCTTGGCGTATTTCGAACGCTAGCTGAGAGCGCTGTAGAGGTGAAGCAATTGCTGCAGGTGAGGCCCGTCTTCCGTCGACAGCAGGAGAACTTCGACCGGGTGATGCGCTGCCTGGCCCATCTCATTTATCTGCTGATCAACACCGTCCAAACTGAGGCTCAACACAGACAGACCTACAATGCCGTTCATGAAACGATCGTAATTGGCAATCTGCGTAGCGCTAGCACCGCCGACACGCTACTTCACCTGTGCGTCTCACGTCTAAATGTGATAAAGAGTGGCTACATCACCGACGAAAATATTGTCGATGTGCGTAGACAAACCTTGAATGTAAACGTGCGTTTCTCAACTACATTTCCGTATTTCAGAAGACTGTGTTCCCCAATGCTGACGTAATTAAGCTGCTCATTGATTGCGGTATAGATGTCAACACCAAAAACGAAGCCAAATCTACGCCCCTACATGTTGCCTGCCAGCCCTACAATTATGATAATGAGGTAAGCTCCTTAACATTGATTATTAATTAAAAAAAAATTATGATCCAATCAAAATGATTATCCAAAGCCCTTTTATCGTTTACTCAAAACAAATATTCTTAGTTTGCAAACCAAGCTTCTTATGTTATTTATAAATATGTTTATTTGGGGGGCGGAGGCATCCACTCGGGAACTTCTTTTACCTTTAAATGCAGGACATAAAAAATTGCTTAATAGTCCAATAAAATTACATTGGAATGAAAGCAGATTCTATATCGTCAAAATAGTTTCAGTATTTTAGATTTAAACTAACGCTGCATATAAATTTAGCTTAAATCCTCACTTCATTCATAATATTAACCATTTACTTTCACCTTTTTAATTGCAGATTGTGCATCTACTTCTGAAGTGCGGAGCCGACATTGACCAGCCGAACCGCGCCGATGAGCGACCTTATGACTCCATTGCCTCCAATCCCACCAACACCATACCACTGCTCAACTACGTGTCGTTGCAATGCCTGGCTGCGACGGCCATTAGTAAGCATAAGATAATCTATCGACAGCATCTGCATAAAAAGTTGGAGCAATTTGTGCAGCATCACGAACCGTAGGTTTCTTCGAGCCTCTACTTCTCTTTTGTTGCAGTGAAGGGCGCTTTGACGTGTCTCTATTCAAAATTGTAGTGTTTTAGCATTAACCCATTCTTTTTCTTTAGCCATATGTGTGTGTTTTGTCACATGTCCAAAATTAACCAGTGTGTACGTACTCTCTATCTCTACATTGTTAACAGAGAATTTCGGCTTAATGTAGTTTAACTCAAAAACGAAAACAAAAACAAAAATACAGCATGAAAAAGTGTAAGCGATAAAAGTGATATTAAAGCTGTATAGAAAAGTAAACTAAAAAGTATATAAATTATTAAGATTTTAGAAAACTTACAAATCAAGAACGTACTCAAAAACGTATGCCCAGCTTTTCAATTAGATCTTAGATAATATGATAAGAGGGAACCGAACCGAAAGGAAAATAACACGTATTAATGCCAATAAAGTTTATACATTATCTACATATATATGCCTAAAAAATATATATATATCTATATACACAGATAATTGTATAGAATAACTAATTTATCACTTGTTGAAAAACTGAAAGGTACTCAAAACATTAAATGCAAATGGTAAATGTTAAATATGTGACAGCGCCAAAAAAGCGAAAAAAAAACTCAACTCCTATGGCTGGCTTTAAATTTAAAAATGTTGGTTTACAACCATTGCCTTCTATCATTTCTAATGGTACTTACATATATGTAGATGCATACCCATGTAAAACCAATGTTTATGTTAAATCAAATTTAAGCATTTCGCGTTTATTGTTCGTTCACGCAAAGATATTGTATATAAGTATTTTCAAAAATGTGTATGAGTTGAGTTTGTACTGTATTGGCACTTACGTAGGTGCGGAATCGAATTAAAATTGAATTTGAAGTTAAAAAGGACTAATAAAATAAACATTTACAGTTTACTGTCTAAAAATGTTATTTTTACTTTATCAATAAATACTTTATTTTAATTCCAACAAGCAAAGCTCAACAGGCAGAAATTTGTTAATATTTTTGTTAATATTTAATTGTTTAATATTGTTAATAATGGGTGAAGTCTTTTAAACTAGCTCCAATGCAATCATAATAGTATGCCTATTTCGGAGTTACCCTAAGTTCTGTCAAATTTGAATCTTCTCGTAACATCACTTCGATTGGGGCAAGAAAGACTCGGAGCGTCATTAGATTTGTTGCTATAATTTCCTTCAGATGATGAGACTTGACAGCAAAATATTTAAGCACTAACTGTAATAGCCTGATTTGGGAATAAAAATTAAAGAATTACCTTTGTTGCTCGATGTCAATTTAATTTAGATTTGAATTAATCAATTACAGTGTTTGAAATTTTTGTTTGTAACTGATTTGCTTATATTATGAGCGATAAGCTCTGCGATTATTAATCTATCGATTAATTGTAAATCGAATAGAAATAAAGGGTACTAGTTTCAAAGAGGAGCGTTCCACGCCGGCTTTGGCTTGCATTATTGGATGTGTACGTAGTTAGGAAGGATGGATAATGTTGTAATTGACGACGACTATGATCATAAAGACGACACCATAGAGTACATATTGGAAAACGTCTTAATGCCCGATGATGGTAGCTGTGAGTTTGGGAACTTGCGTGAATTATACAATTGCAAACTTGTCCATTCTTGTACTTGTACGTCACAAATCAAATGTTGCATGGACAAAGAGAGCTGTTGTCACGGTGGCAGATTCAAATACCATCACAGTATAGTTGGAAAGGAACTGGTGCTAAAGCACGAAATCGACCTGCCCGCAATTATCGAGTGCAGTGATTTGTGTGGATGCTCTGCAGAGCACTGTTTAAATCGATGTGTGCAGATCGGTCCGCGAAAACAGTTGGAGATTTTCAACTCGCCGTTGTACAGATCCTTGGGTCTGCGCACTATGATTGACATTCCTGCTGGAGCATTTGTCTGCGAGTACGCTGGTGAATTGCTGACCTTAGCCGAAGCGAGACGTCGACTGAAATTGAATGACAGGGAGGAAGTAATGAACTATATCTTATGCCTCAACGAATACACAAATGTTTCAGAAGCCGGCAGTTCAAAAAAATTACTAGTGCAGTCTACGATTGTTGATCCTTCCCGACGTGGGAACATCGGCAGGTATTTGAACCACAGTTGTCAGCCCAATTGCGACCTAAAAGCCGTGCGAGTAGACAGTCCCGTGCCGAAAATAGGTTAATTTTTTCTTAAGATTTAAGAAGTACAAACAATATTACAAATACATCCTGTCCAGGAATCTTTGCGCTACGAGATATTGCAGCATACGAAGAGCTATGCTTTCACTACGGCGGTGATGACCCTCCTACTACAGTACCTTCCAACGCCAAACCGTGCCTGTGCTCTTCCTCAATGTGCACAGGTGTGATGCCGAATACAACAATTTAACGGGCAAGTATTTCATTCATATATTATGCTGTAACCAAGAACTGAAGTACAACAAGACAAACTTAAAGCTTGTTTTGCATATCACTTTCTAGAGGGGGCAACTTTTCGTTTATCCATTGCTCCAAATCCAGCATAGAGGCCTTCTTCAACTCGTGTAAGCAATTTTTCAATGGCTTGAAGGTGCCGGTGACCCCAAGTTTTTGGAGTGCATCGAAACTTTCCTTCCCCCAATCTAATGGTACCAATGTATCGCGATCGCCATGGTAGCTGCGTAGTTCAGGAAGCTCGTCCGATGAATTCGTTCGATTTTGCAAGGATTCGTACACCACAGAGCCACGATTAAGGAATGCTGAGTGGGCAAAAACCCCAGCTAGGTTTGTGTTCAAATGATATCCGGTATGTAAGGCGAGTGCCCCACCCATTGAGAAACCTCCAACAACAATTCTATTGTGCGGTATACCCTGATCCACCTCATCCTGTATCAGTTGATTCGCAATGTCGTAGCTTTGAGCCATGCTCTTTCTGCTCTCCTGCGCCGCAACATTTATTGAACGCCGATCAAACCATACCGTGGACAGCTCGCCATCCATGGGGGTATACTTCTGCAGGGGAGCGGTAGGATAGATGACTTTAATGTGCCGAAAATCCAAGTCTTTCCCTAAAAGAAAGCGGACCCATTCCAATACATTTGGTCCGGTGTCGCCGGAACCGTGGAAAAATATAACGGACGCGCTATGTGTGCGGCCTGTGGGCTTTATTGTTCTAACGGCAACTTTCATTTTGGAAAATGACTGACGCTCTTGATAATAGTTAAATATCGTAAAATATATTCTCTACCTCATTGACATTTATTTTAACACTAGAGATGTGAGTTATACACGATGATATTTTTTTATCACTGCGGATGAGACAAGTTCGTGAAAAATGTGTCTCGCTAAGCCATTTTCCAATATAAACAATAAAAAAAATAAACGAAACTCTTGCTTTGCTAATATGTTTCACAAGTTAAAAAGTGCACGTATATTGGTGCAAATAAAAATGTGTTTTTAAATATTCCAATGAATGTAGTTATGTAACACTTATTCTTGGCAGCTTAAGATTTGTAGCGTTTAAAATCGGTAAATATCTAAACACTTTCAATTCAGTTTTTAACTTATTTTTTACATTTAACTTTAACACGTAGCCACCCCTATTTTATAGTCACAAACATAATGTTTTGAATTCGATAGTCCATTATCGGCGGCATAACAGTCGCTTATAATCTTTATCTTTAAATTCTTATTGGAATTTGCGTGCTCGAAAATGTTCATAACTTTCTCCTACCCCCTTTTCTTACTACCACCAAGATTTATTTATTTAGTGGCAATGAAAAATGTAACTATGATTTACTATTTGTTTCACAACTGCAAAATATTAAAGCGTTGTAGTGGAAACGATAACATTACCATGAATCCCTGCAACCTTGTCAAGATTCGTAGTGAGTTAGTGATTGTGTAGTTAAGATACTAAAAAGTGAAAACACTAGCGAAAATAACACAAAAGGTGGGTGTGCATGGCAGAAAAACGATAAAAAGAAAGAACATTCAACATACTATAAATGCAAATTATTGTTGATGTAAAAACCTGTGTTATAAAGCTTGGCAAGTCAGAGGGAAACGTTTCCAGTTCATCACTGTACACATACATATGTATGTGCAAGTATATGCTGACATACATATGTACGTACATACATATGTATTGAGGACTATAAATTTGTAAACAAAAAGAATGTTTGCTTATCAAGTACTTCAAATATTAAACCATACAAACAAACTGTAAGCAGATTACAACAAATGCTGATACTTTTAATGAAATGTCAATCAACCCGGCTTACATACAATTTACAAGATTTTCCATCTGCCGACCTAAGCCTATGTGCTCTAATCAGCTGTTCGTAACATATACATATGTACATGTATGGTTGAACGGTGCATGACGCTACGTTTACCTCTTCCCACTATAACTGTTTATTCACATTTTCCATTTAATAACTTGACTCGCTTCCGTTCTCCAGTTAGATATTCAACAAGTTGCTGCTATTTTGGTTGCTTATGCCAATGTTTCCATGTATGTATGTATGCATGTAGATATGCATATATGTACATACATTTGTATCGATAGTCTCCCCCACAAACACACTTTTGCGCCGGCTGCTTTTATTTATACATACATCCATACGCACGTGTGTATGTGTAATATTAAATGTACATTCACCTATGTGGGTATGTATGTATGTGCTGGTTTGCTTCTCATCATGATTTGACAGTTTCTCCATGCATACTTTGTATGGTTGTTGTTTTCTTGCATACCTGATTAAAACAACGTAAATGAAACTCCTCGCGTAAGAGATAAGCAGGGGAACAAAAGTTCATGCATATGACGTTTTATATTTGTTTACAGATAAAACATACATGCGTACATACCAAAGAGGAGTATGTGTATTATACATACATTTGTTTGTATATATGTACATATGTATGTTAAAATATAAAATTTGCCACCATTCATTATAACGCGACAAAGTAAAAGTAAACTATAAATACAGTAACCACTCGAAAATAAGAACGCCTTATTGTTACAATTAGGGATCACAGTAAACTATTTATTTGTTGAAAAACTAAAGTATGTACATATGTTAAAATTGGTCATCGCTATCAAATATAACCCTGATGATGGGAATTGGAGCATTCAATTGAAAGGTTCTTTGTACCAGCTACGTACATCATATAGAATAATATTTTTATAGCATGAAATGGTCTTATACTTATAAAGAATCAAACGATTATTGTATACTCTTTTCCCAAAGGGTACATGTTAGTTTATTTAATATTTTAATACTTAAATAAAGTTTAGTTTATAAAGCGCATATTATTTGGAAAAATGTAGCTGATAAATGCAAATTTTGGCTTAGATATCGTAAGAAACAACAAAAATGTTGGCTATATGATAAATTAAACTTTAAAATGTCATGGAGCACTATACACAATTCATAAACACCACATTCGCTTAAGATACCTTCTTAATCAGTAAAAGTATTTTTACTAAGAATGTTTTTTACACCGATCAGTTTTGTATGTGTACTTGCTATTCATATTGATTAAATTAGTCTATAAATAGTTTAGAGACCCTAGTTGCTATGGTTCAAAAGTGCTGTGTTCATACGGACGGATATATCTATATCGATTCGTCTGACACGCCTCTTTCTGTATCTAGTATTTCCAAGCTCCGGGTAAGCGGTATTTTAATTAAAATAACGCCCACCAACTTAGAAATTGTATGCAAGCCAGCTCGAGTTTCCAGATGTTTTAATTCCCAGGTTCGATTTATTAAGCATTTGTGTCAAAAACCCTATGGCTGTACTCTATTTCAAAACCATTACAACTATTGCTCGCCTCCGCGCTTATAAGCACGCACACGTCTTTGACTTCGGTTCTTTTCACTTCGCCAGGTAATGAGCGGACATGAACTTGAGCATGTACATACTTGTACACGTATGTATGTACATACGAATGTAGCTGAAGAGTCGGCGCACCCGAGGCGTCAACAGTCCTAAAGCGAAGTCAGTAATCAGTACCGTCGAGCTCTGCCCAGCGTACGCACGATCGGTCTGCGGTGTCGGACGGCTGTCGGTTGATCTGTTTTCACAATTTTAATTTCATTTTCAAAAATCTAGTTTGCATGCTTTGTTGGTGTTGTGCTAGTGACGAAGCTTAAGAATTGGAATATACATACATACATATGTATGTATTGTATTCCCCCGGACGTGCTAACGGAACTTGTTAATGACGTATCGTGGTTTGATAACAAAAAAATAAAATAGTTATGGCAAACAGTGTAAAGACATTATGTCTTCATAGTGGACTTTAGGTGCCTTTTTTTATCGCGCATCCGCTCTGTATATACAGATGTACATACATATACATATGTATATTGTTACCCCAAATCATGTGCTCAAGTATGCCGCAGCAAATTGCAAATCTGATCGCTTCCCCTACACTTCACCCAGATGTTCAGGGGGCATCTTTTCAGAATGGTTTTGCATCACCACCTAAGCGCGGGAATAAAGGTTCGTTTATTCTTCCTACTTTATATTTTACAGCCAACTTCCTGAGCATTCGGAGTACTAACACGTCTACAGTTGTTATTTTATTTTTCTTGTTTGCCTTTGTGTGGAATAAATGTGAGAATGACTGTGCATTTTATCAATCAAGTTTGCTTATTCGCACCACAATAATGAATCGCAAAATTTATGAAACCCCTCTGATAGCCACATTAAATTTTTCTATACCCTTACCCTTATACACGATGATATTTTTTTATCACTGCGGATGAGACAAGTTCGTGAAAAATGTGTCTCGCTAAGCCATTTTCCAATATAAACAATAAAAAAAATAAACGAAACTCTTGCTTTGCTAATATGTTTCACAAGTTAAAAAGTGCACGTATATTGGTGCAAATAAAAATGTGTTTTTAAATATTCCAATGAATGTAGTTATGTAACACTTATTCTTGGCAGCTTAAGATTTGTAGCGTTTAAAATCGGTAAATATCTAAACACTTTCAATTCAGTTTTTAACTTATTTTTTACATTTAACTTTAACACGTAGCCACCCCTATTTTATAGTCACAAACATAATGTTTTGAATTCGATAGTCCATTATCGGCGGCATAACAGTCGCTTATAATCTTTATCTTTAAATTCTTATTGGAATTTGCGTGCTCGAAAATGTTCATAACTTTCTCCTACCCCCTTTTCTTACTACCACCAAGATTTATTTATTTAGTGGCAATGAAAAATGTAACTATGATTTACTATTTGTTTCACAACTGCAAAATATTAAAGCGTTGTAGTGGAAACGATAACATTACCATGAATCCCTGCAACCTTGTCAAGATTCGTAGTGAGTTAGTGATTGTGTAGTTAAGATACTAAAAAGTGAAAACACTAGCGAAAATAACACAAAAGGTGGGTGTGCATGGCAGAAAAACGATAAAAAGAAAGAACATTCAACATACTATAAATGCAAATTATTGTTGATGTAAAAACCTGTGTTATAAAGCTTGGCAAGTCAGAGGGAAACGTTTCCAGTTCATCACTGTACACATACATATGTATGTGCAAGTATATGCTGACATACATATGTACGTACATACATATGTATTGAGGACTATAAATTTGTAAACAAAAAGAATGTTTGCTTATCAAGTACTTCAAATATTAAACCATACAAACAAACTGTAAGCAGATTACAACAAATGCTGATACTTTTAATGAAATGTCAATCAACCCGGCTTACATACAATTTACAAGATTTTCCATCTGCCGACCTAAGCCTATGTGCTCTAATCAGCTGTTCGTAACATATACATATGTACATGTATGGTTGAACGGTGCATGACGCTACGTTTACCTCTTCCCACTATAACTGTTTATTCACATTTTCCATTTAATAACTTGACTCGCTTCCGTTCTCCAGTTAGATATTCAACAAGTTGCTGCTATTTTGGTTGCTTATGCCAATGTTTCCATGTATGTATGTATGCATGTAGATATGCATATATGTACATACATTTGTATCGATAGTCTCCCCCACAAACACACTTTTGCGCCGGCTGCTTTTATTTATACATACATCCATACGCACGTGTGTATGTGTAATATTAAATGTACATTCACCTATGTGGGTATGTATGTATGTGCTGGTTTGCTTCTCATCATGATTTGACAGTTTCTCCATGCATACTTTGTATGGTTGTTGTTTTCTTGCATACCTGATTAAAACAACGTAAATGAAACTCCTCGCGTAAGAGATAAGCAGGGGAACAAAAGTTCATGCATATGACGTTTTATATTTGTTTACAGATAAAACATACATGCGTACATACCAAAGAGGAGTATGTGTATTATACATACATTTGTTTGTATATATGTACATATGTATGTTAAAATATAAAATTTGCCACCATTCATTATAACGCGACAAAGTAAAAGTAAACTATAAATACAGTAACCACTCGAAAATAAGAACGCCTTATTGTTACAATTAGGGATCACAGTAAACTATTTATTTGTTGAAAAACTAAAGTATGTACATATGTTAAAATTGGTCATCGCTATCAAATATAACCCTGATGATGGGAATTGGAGCATTCAATTGAAAGGTTCTTTGTACCAGCTACGTACATCATATAGAATAATATTTTTATAGCATGAAATGGTCTTATACTTATAAAGAATCAAACGATTATTGTATACTCTTTTCCCAAAGGGTACATGTTAGTTTATTTAATATTTTAATACTTAAATAAAGTTTAGTTTATAAAGCGCATATTATTTGGAAAAATGTAGCTGATAAATGCAAATTTTGGCTTAGATATCGTAAGAAACAACAAAAATGTTGGCTATATGATAAATTAAACTTTAAAATGTCATGGAGCACTATACACAATTCATAAACACCACATTCGCTTAAGATACCTTCTTAATCAGTAAAAGTATTTTTACTAAGAATGTTTTTTACACCGATCAGTTTTGTATGTGTACTTGCTATTCATATTGATTAAATTAGTCTATAAATAGTTTAGAGACCCTAGTTGCTATGGTTCAAAAGTGCTGTGTTCATACGGACGGATATATCTATATCGATTCGTCTGACACGCCTCTTTCTGTATCTAGTATTTCCAAGCTCCGGGTAAGCGGTATTTTAATTAAAATAACGCCCACCAACTTAGAAATTGTATGCAAGCCAGCTCGAGTTTCCAGATGTTTTAATTCCCAGGTTCGATTTATTAAGCATTTGTGTCAAAAACCCTATGGCTGTACTCTATTTCAAAACCATTACAACTATTGCTCGCCTCCGCGCTTATAAGCACGCACACGTCTTTGACTTCGGTTCTTTTCACTTCGCCAGGTAATGAGCGGACATGAACTTGAGCATGTACATACTTGTACACGTATGTATGTACATACGAATGTAGCTGAAGAGTCGGCGCACCCGAGGCGTCAACAGTCCTAAAGCGAAGTCAGTAATCAGTACCGTCGAGCTCTGCCCAGCGTACGCACGATCGGTCTGCGGTGTCGGACGGCTGTCGGTTGATCTGTTTTCACAATTTTAATTTCATTTTCAAAAATCTAGTTTGCATGCTTTGTTGGTGTTGTGCTAGTGACGAAGCTTAAGAATTGGAATATACATACATACATATGTATGTATTGTATTCCCCCGGACGTGCTAACGGAACTTGTTAATGACGTATCGTGGTTTGATAACAAAAAAATAAAATAGTTATGGCAAACAGTGTAAAGACATTATGTCTTCATAGTGGACTTTAGGTGCCTTTTTTTATCGCGCATCCGCTCTGTATATACAGATGTACATACATATGTATATTGTTACCCCAAATCATGTGCTCAAGTATGCCGCAGCAAATTGCAAATCTGATCGCTTCCCCTACACTTCACCCAGATGTTCAGGGGGCATCTTTTCAGAATGGTTTTGCATCACCACCTAAGCGCGGGAATAAAGGTTCGTTTATTCTTCCTACTTTATATTTTACAGCCAACTTCCTGAGCATTCGGAGTACTAACACGTCTACAGTTGTTATTTTATTTTTCTTGTTTGCCTTTGTGTGGAATAAATGTGAGAATGACTGTGCATTTTATCAATCAAGTTTGCTTATTCGCACCACAATAATGAATCGCAAAATTTATGAAACCCCTCTGATAGCCACATTAAATTTTTCTATACCCTTCAACATTTTATAAAGGTATTGGACATTGGTATTGGGTTCTTGGTGTTTTATCAAAGAATAGAGGTTCTGAAATACAGTATACGAGCGATGTTTAATAAGCCCCATGACTTGGTATTTTACTTAAATATGTACATATACGTATATATGTATGTATCAGAGAGGCACTTCTGGCTAAGTGGCAAAGCAAAACAGTCACATTGTACCTGTACCTGTTTATATAAAAACTACCATGAAAACTAAAAAATGTAAGTGCGCGAATACATATGGGTCGGGTATAATAAAATCGTTTTATTGTTCATATAATGTAGTATGTACATATATTATCCAGATGAAGAAGGGAGCATACCAAGAGGCTATATTTATCTACAATAAAATTAAATTCTAAACAATCAATCATTTATATTTTAAGAGCAGCTGCATTTGAATTTAAAGGTATATTTTTCGTGCCAAATATAGTCAAGCGTTCGCAAATATAGTGCCGATTTTTCCAATCATGCTCGCAGATACAAACAAAAATATGTTCAAAGTCCACGCCTGCAAAATATACATACATATGTATGTATGTATGTAGTTTAATACCATTATGTAGAATCAAATTGTTCTGAATGCAAGTCCTGCTCATAAGTTTCTAATCGCTCGTTTGCTGATGTGTTGTTATCAGCAATGACATAGCTAAATAATTATCTACGGTGACTCCGTGAATACAATTTCTGAAATGTTGGGTCGTTATTGTATCAAATAAAACATCTTGACGCGGCATGTGACGAATAATCCAAGTAGTATCTGTGGGTACGGGGATTGCAACATCATTTATTTTGAATTGTTATTTAGCGCTTTATTGCTGTTGAACTTTATGATCATATCATATACACCATGAAAGACATAATAAACAGGCCAGCGAACTGAAATAAGTATTACCAAAACACCGAAAATGCAAAGCCCAATTTACAAATTCGCCAAAAAGATCGAGATTACCGCTCTAAGATTGTTCCTTTAAAAACTTTCAGATATAGAGATGAACGACCACTCTGATAGTTGTTCCCTCGCAACAACATGTGGGCGGTTTGATTCGCCACGGTCCACCATCGATGACCACGACGCGACTGACGACGACATGACATTCTGCATGGCCAATTATGCTAAGGAGGCCCTGAAAATGATGTTCATGATGCGTTCCCATGGCATGCTTACAGACGTTGTGCTGGAGGTGAAAAAAGAGTTATTCCCAGCACATAAGGTTGTGCTGTCTGCGGCATCGCCCTACTTCAAGGCCATGTTCACGGGTGGTCTGAAAGAGTCAGAAATGTCCCGAGTGCAATTGCAAGGGGTAAGCAAAGACCATTCACATATTTACTTTGTTGCTATAATAGATGAACAGTTTTTGCGATATGTCTCCATAGGTTTGCCCGACAGCAATGTCTCGCCTCCTCTATTTTATGTACACAGGGTCGATCCGTGTGACCGAGGTTACTGTGTGCCAGCTTCTGCCCGCGGCGACCATGTTCCAAGTGCCAAATGTTATTGATGCCTGCTGTGCGTTCTTGGAACGCCAGTTGGATCCAACAAACGCGATCGGCATTGCAAATTTCGCTGAACAGCACGGCTGTGTGGATCTCCAAAAGAAAGCCAATCACTTCATTGAGCGCCACTTCACGCAGGTAGGCGACTTGGCTTCGTTGGAGTTAAAATCTTTATAACGCTTTTTATTTTTAACGCTGGCAGGTATGTCAGGAGGAAGAGTTTCTACAACTTTCTGCCTATCAGCTTATAGCGCTCATCAGACGAGATGAGTTGAATGTCCAGGAAGAGCGAGAGGTCTACAATGCGGTATTGAAATGGGTGAAGTACGATGAAGATAATCGGCACAGTAAAATGGAACACATTCTGGGTGCCGTCCGCTGCCAGTTTCTGACGCCCAACTTCCTGAAGGAGCAAATGAAAAACTGCGATGTGCTGCGCAAAGTACCAGCGTGTCGCGAATATTTGGCCAAGATCTTTAAAGATCTGACACTCCACAAATGTCCGGGGGTAAAGGAACGCACTCCAAACACCACACGCATGATATTTGTGGCGGGAGGATTCTTTCGGCATTCTCTCGACATATTGGAGGCCTATAACGTGGATGACAAGACATGGACGACGTTGCCAAACCTGCGCATACCCCGTTCCGGCCTAGGCGCCGCCTTTCTCAAAGGAAAATTCTATGCAGTCGGCGGCCGCAACAACAACATCGGTTCATCTTACGATTCGGATTGGGTGGATCGCTACAGTGCCATAAGCGAAACATGGCGTCCCTGCGCGCCTATGTCGGTGCCCCGTCATCGTGTAGGCGTGGCCGTAATGGACGAATTCATGTATGCAGTAGGCGGTTCGGCGGGAATGGAGTATCACAACACCGTTGAGTAGTAAGTATAATCTAGTACACTCCATGATCAATGGCAATAATGCAGAACACGTTATTCATTGCAGCTATGATCCAGATCAGGACCGTTGGACTCTGGTGCAGCCAATGCATGCCAAACGCTTGGGTGTAGGTGTAGTAGTAGTCAATCGTTTGCTTTACGCCATCGGCGGTTTTGACGGCGTCGAGCGTTTGGCTAGCGTTGAGTGCTATCATCCGGAAAATAACGAATGGAGTTTCTTGCCTCCTCTGAAAATCGGTCGCAGTGGTGCAGGTAAGCACTTGTTTATTTATTCATCCTTGTGTTACAAGTACCAGATTACTTTAAATTTATTACGGTTGTCATTAAATATTTATTTCTACTTTAATTCAACTTTATTTAATTTAATTAAAAATTTAATTTAGTTTTATTTGACGTTGAACTTTGCAATCGCTTTCGTATCCTACATACCGAGCTATTATCTGTTCAAAGATTTCATTCTGTTGCTAGTGCCGTAAGCATGTCCCAGGAAATATGTTTGTGTTTATAAAGTTTCGTAATATTTATACATGTTGGGGATTTGTTATGTCGTGTACGGTAAAATTTCGAATCAAACCGCTAATACCGACAGATGAGGTTCTTGTGCAAAAACAGATTCTATGGTAGATTAATCCACTTTGACAAACATGAAGAATTCCGGGAACTTTACTGAAAATGTTTTTTTCCTTAAATATTTTACAACAACGTTATTTATTTAAAAAGTATTTCGTGGATATGAACTTACCCATTTGTAATTATAGGGGTAGCGGCCATCAATCAATACATATACGTGGTAGGCGGCTTTGATGGAACACGGCAACTGGCAACTGTGGAACGCTATGATACTGATACCAAAACGTGGGACATGGTCGCTTCCATACAAATAGCGCGAAGTGCTCTCTCACTTACACCGCTTGATGGAAAATTGTACGCCATTGGTGGCTTTGATGGAAACAACTTTCTATCCATCGTCGAAGTATACGATCCGCGCACAAACACATGGGAGGAAGGCACACCGCTAAATTCAGGACGTTCGGGTCACGCTTCGGCAGTTATATATCAGCCGTCGTGTGTTAGTACTTCAATGGACTACGAGGAGGGCGAAGTGTATAGAAGGGATGGAAACACTGACGGCGGACCCAGCGATTCGTCACAAGACCCCTGTTCCACCAAAGGTCCCAGCTTTTGTGGCAGCTCGTCTAACATGCAATTTCATTCGTCATTTGAATCAAGCGGATGTTTCAACTGCGAAACGGAAGCGTTCCAAAATACAGAAAAACCAAACTACAACACAAGAGATTGCTTGGACTATCTATATGAAGGCAAGTGGAAAGCGTCGTTAAAAACTGTTCAGAGGCGAGCGCAGCCGACGTGGCATGATGACAACGGGAACACAAGTGGGCAGCACAGCCTGAGTGACGTTGATAGCAATAAAACTGCACAGCCCGTTATCCTGCCAATCACATCACTTCAACTACTCAATCCTGCGCCAAAGGAGTCATTCAAAACGCGGAGACGGTGCATTATTCTGAATGCGCTCATGCACAGTCATGTGCGCAACGTTGTTCAAAATGTGATACTCAGTACCATCAATTGGCGTCGTCTCAAGACAATATACGATATATGATAACTTAAGGCGTCACAAACAATTACATTTGTGAATTCACAATCATTTTAGCTTTACCGTCCTCTAATTTATAAGGCTTATAATTCCGTGCAGACAACCATTCCAACGAACCTCTACTGTGTAATGTGAAAAGCTATTTTGTATATTAATTGTTTAAGGCTTCAATTGGTTAATGTGTCTTTAAAATTAAGTTCATAGTTAGCAGGTGTATTAATATGTACCCCAGAAAATTCCAATTTCATTTCCTGTGCCGGCACTTGTACGTACTACACATACATAGTTATAGGGATTGCCTTGGTTAAACATACATATCTTGTATGCCGTATAATTTAAAAAGCCAAATAAATACTTCATTAGCTAGAATTGTACAATTTATATTATGTCAAAATCTAAATAGAAACACAAAAAACATGCATAACTTATTCTTTGACTAACGTTCTTCGGTGCTGAATTAAAGGCTTCTCTGTTTTCGAGGTCGTGGAGGGTTCCATGAAACGGGGGTATTGTCAGTAATAGACACTATATTCAAACCACCCATTTGTAGACCTTTGATAGCAGACTAAAACGAAATGAGAATTATTATGTAGCTCGAACTCATTCCCTAAAGAACTTACCATGCGTCCTGGTCCCAGCCCTTGTACCTTTACTCTGACTGTTTTCCAACCAAGTTCTACGGCTTTCTATAAGAAAAATCAATAATGTACTAGCGATTTAAAATCCAGTGTTCTAGTGATAAAATTAGAGATAACAACTTTTATTTCTAAATAATTTCATTAGCCGGAAGAAAGTATTCTGACCACCTTAAATTATCTTGATGCTTTCATACTTAAAATGCTGGGTCATATTTATAAGTAGTATTATAAGCGAACGAAATATTTTATATTTGAAATACTATAAATACTTTGCGATAAAACCGAGTTTCAATCTTTGTTTTCTAAGAACTGTCCATAGATCCATAGAGATTTACAAACTGATTTTTTTTTCTGGGCATAATTTTTTTTCGAAGAACACTGGTTTACTTATTTATTCTAAATTCAAAGATAATCTAGAGGATTTGCTACAAGAAGATATCGGAGATATATCGTGCCTTCCTTACTCAACGATGACACTTACTGCGCTTATGGTAACGGCCGTGGCTTGAGCTGCAATATTTGTTCCCTTTCTTGTGTTTTTGAAGCCTTCTATACCACATGAACGTATAAGTCTGGGAACCCCTGTAAATAATAATATGATAGTGCATGTCGCCTTATTGAGACACAACATCTAACATACCCTTGTAATCCGATACCGAAATAATTGTGTTATTTGGCGACACACGAATGTTGCAAATGGGGAGTTCGTTGAAAGGGATGCCGTTGAACAGCTGAGAGGCAGTGTCGGCATCCGGGAAAAACTTGGCCTTTCTGTAAAGTGTTTTATTTAACAAATGGGCTAACGTGTTACACAATATCATATATACCTGTTGATTAGGGTATCAATGTCAACTGATTTCTCACCGGTCGTACCCTCATCTTTAGCTGGCAGGGATGCTAGCATTTCCTTGCGATCTTCTGCCTTTTTCAAGCTAGCGCTCGTATGTATTTTGGAAGGTAGTGCCAAAGCTATTGGCGGCCGCACCAGGGACTTGGCATGTTGAAGAACTGTTAATAACGTTGTTTTTATTAACATTTTGCAGAATATGTTTAACGACGCGATTTGTTCATAAATTACATCACAAACAACGACGAAGTGTGGCCTGTTTTTTAAGGTCCACCAGTCCGGCAAGGCCGGTTCGAAAACCTGAATGCGTGTTAACGCGTTACGGCGAATGGCAACATGGAAAGAGGAAAATCATTATTTACACGTGCTCCAAGACCGATCGAGTTCTCCGTATTGTTATAAAAATGGCTTTAAAACGATTGAAAAGTAAAATTTTACGATCCTTGGGCATTTTAAGTAACTGACGTCTCATCATATACATTCCTCATTGCAGCTAAAAAATCCAAGCGCTTGACCGGCCGACTAAAGCACAAGATCGACAAAAAAGTCAGGGAACATAACAGAAAGGAACGTCGCGCGGCCAAAAAGAATCCAAAGAAAGGCAGCAAAAAGCAAAAGCTGATACAAATTCCCAATATATGTCCGTTTAAAGATGAGATACTAAAGGAAGTGGAGGAAGCGAAAAAACGCCAGGAAGAGGAACGCCAAGCCCGTCGTGAGGCGTTCAAGGCAGAACGCGAGCTGAACAAAGCCAAGACGTTGGAGTCGATGGTGATGGATGCTGACATGAGGGGCACAGTGCATGGTATTATGCATGAAAACGATGATGTAGATGGAAATGAGAAGAAATACAAAAACGCGTCCACAAAGGAGCAATCGCTGAAGCAATACTTTAAGGAGTTTCGCAAGGTTATTGAAAACGCGGACGTAGTGCTAGAGGTAGTCGATGCACGCGACCCACTTGGAACGCGTTGCAATGAAGTAGAACGTGCTGTGCGCAGTGCACCAGGCAACAAGCGTCTCGTACTTGTTTTGAATAAAGCTGACCTAGTGCCAAGAGAAAACTTGAACAATTGGATCAAGTATTTGCGACGTAGTGGACCTGTAACAGCATTTAAAGCCTCCACACAAGATCAAAACTCCCGACTCGGCCGTCGTAAGCTGCGTGAAATGAAAACCGATGAGGCCATGCAAGGATCAGTTTGCATTGGGGCTGAGCTGCTTATGTCCATGCTGGCCAACTACTGCCGCAATAAAGGGATTAAGACATCAATTCGTGTTGGTGTCGTAGGTATACCGAATGTTGGCAAGAGTTCCATCATCAATTCCCTCACTCGAGGACGTTCGTGCATGGTGGGCAGCACACCAGGCGTAACAAAGTACTTACTTACTTACTTATAATATACCTTACAGAGTTTCCTTAACTGTGCTTTAATTACAGATCCATGCAAGAAGTGGAGCTAGATTCGAAAATCAAATTAATTGATTGCCCGGGTATCGTCTTCACCAGTTCTGCCAACAATGTAGAAAACTCACATGCTGTGCTTAAGAACGCGCAACGTGTTGGCGACGTTAAGGATCCATTTACTATAGCAGAGAGTGTTTTAAAGCGTGCCAGCAAAGAGTATTTCTGCAAAATGTATGATATTGCCAACTATGATACTTTCGAAGAGTTCTTTGCCAAAAAAGCGGCTAGAATGGGTGAGTGACTACACATTTTTGGTGACACTGTTTCTAAAAGACTCATTGATGAATTCGATTTACAGGAAAATTCCTTAAGAAGGGTGTGCCCGATGTTGTGGCGGCAGCACGCAGTGTATTGAATGATTGGAACACAGGCAAGATTAAATACTGTACACAGCCACCAGAGACCCAGGATAGTCATGATGTGCACGTAAGTGCGGCTATTGTGCACGCGGAAGCCCGTGAGTTCGATATTGATAACTTTGAGGCAATGGAAACAGATATATTGAGCAAATGCGAGGTGAAGGCTGACGAAGTAATGGAAATAACTTCGACGGGTCCACTTGAATTGAAAACACCTCGTGCTGAAGAACAACCAACAGCTTCAGCCAGTGCAGTGATTAACGAAAAAGAAACATCTAAAAAAGGTCGTAAGAGAAAAGCCGATGACAAAAAAGAAAAGCCAGATCCGGTATTGCTATTAGAAGGTAAACTTTGTTGCTTACCTGATGAATAGCCCATTCACAAACTGTTATTTATTTTCAGAAAACCAATCGCTAAACAAAAACATCAAAGAGGGACAGAAAAAGAAGAAAAAGCAAAATGCTCGCAACGAAAAGAAACTAACCAAAATCACAGATGTATTGGATAACTTTAGCTTAGGTTCGGCCAGCACAAAAGCTGACAAGTATGATTTTGACGAAGACTATGTTATTGAATAAAACTGTTATGAAATGACTAGATAATTAGGTGCACTGACTTATATAATTTCTTCTTAGACGGCTGTTCTACATATAATAAACAAATACAAATTGCAGCTCTGGAAAATAAGAAACACTTCAAAATATCAAAATCGAACTTGTGTGAGCTGTTGAGGTCGTTCTAGTACTGATTGAATAATTGTAATTCAATTCGTAACATCTTTCCTTTTACTCGTATTGTGCCTTATCCAGGGAGTCTGTTTTCAAACAGGTACTTAAATTATTCAACTGATACCAGAAGAGCCTCAACAAATCGCAGACACAACACCATTAACATCAAAAAGAGCCCCAACTATTGTTTGAAGTCCACTGTAATTTGTATTGAAACATCGAAATTAAAGCAATTGAGTGTCTTAATAAAATTGGAGTCGAGTAGAGAAGTTATTAGAGTAATTTATAAAAATTGAAAACTATTGAACTTCTGAACTCATAATTGTAATTTTCTATTAATATAAATTTATTATTAATCTTATATAGCTAATATATAATTACAAGTAGATTGCCTATTGAAGAATCGTTGTCCTGACAGTCAGTAGCTTTTTGCTGCTGCTTTGTTACATATCAAGTTAGCTTTGACTTTGATTTAATGTTTCACTTTTTAACTAAATTTACGAGAACGCTTTTAGCGCGCTCGGGATCAGGCCGCCAAATATATTGTCTCCTGTACGGCCGCGATAATGATGATAATCAAATTAAAGTGGTTCGCTATGTTTGTAGCTTTTTACTGGGATTATTCTTGGCTTATTTGCTGTGGGAATTGGTAGCTCTTAACTTTAATTTAACCCGATTTTTTGCCAATGTGCCCATTTTTGGTGTGTTCATTGTACTTAATGGTAAGTTTCCTTTCCATAACTGCTTCTATCCCTTGTAAGTGAGCCTTATGCAGGATTGGCCTTTGCTGTCAGTCGTAATGTGCGGTCGATTACACTGCTGATATTCGTGGCTCTGGTGGGAAAATCAGGAAGAAGCTACCTGCGTGCAATTGCCTTTGCCTTTGTTATTTCGGGACCAATAGACAATTTATCCACGAACGCGGGTGAGGCGGCACGCGTCTTCGCCTGTACCACCGTACTTACCTACAACTTGACTAAGACGCGCTTCGATCTTATGGCTAAGCCGTTCACAAATACGCTACAGCATATGAAGGGTGATATTGCAGAGATACAGATGACGTTTAAAGAGCTGGAGGATATATTGGCGGATCTAGAGTATGGCGTTGAGCATGCGAACATTGAGGACGATAAATTTGGGGCAAACGATACCTTGGCGCTGTTTCGAGACTATAGGGAACGCCGGGGCACGAACACAACCAAATCTGAGGTGCCTACGGCGGCGGATATTCAGGAAAAATTTGTGCGCAATATGAGGAATCGCTGCAAGCATCAATTGCGCAGCGGACACCGGGTATGCCAGGAACTTTTTAAGCAGGGATATAGAAAATGCACAACAAATTTTCCCGACTTTGTGGCCACTGCGATTTGTTGGCCCTACCGGGTCGATATCATATGCAAACTAAACATTTTCGGCAATCCGGACAAGGTGTGCGATGCCTCACAAGTGGTGCCCAAGGACTTTGGTCAGACCTACGTGGACATGGTGCAAACCGAGCGGGAACTGTACGACAACAGTTCCGACATTGAAATTACATACAATATGCAGAATTCAACGGCCCAAGAGCATTTGAGGTTTTATTAACCATCCTTGTCTAATGCATTTAACAATTACTAATTCGTAGGAATTCTTAGAACGGCCCAGCAATCATCAGATGAGTTTACCGAGGACTTCAATCGACGTAAACGTATATTTGATGCCATCATGTTAATCATCGAAAAAGTTCTGTGCCTTTTCCTATTCCGTGTAATATGTGGTATGTACCAAAAGCTTTCACAATCATATATTAGTTTACTAGCAGGTCTTGCCCGTCTTTGCTGGGCTAAGTAAAATGTGCTTATAATTATAAGTTTATTTACTATATGATATTCTTCTTTCGACGCTCTCTAAAGTTTTTTAAAGAGTTCATTTTCCAAATAGCAAATATAGTACAATAAGTACTATGTATGGCTATACGTACATACATACATATGCACATATGTATCTTCGTTACGCACCGGGCGGATTGCCAGTCCTGACTTAACTGTGTGCTTCCTCAGCACGTTGTACGCACGGTCGAGTTATCCCCGAAAAGTCCGACGCGGGACATTTAATTTTGATTTATAAATCGAGACGTCCCGCCAAAATTGGAGCGTTCGGCAACGCTGATATGTACATACATTTAAATTTTTCATGCAGGCGTTATCCGCTTATATACATACATACATACATACATACATATACAAGTATGTATTAAATTTTTTAATTCAACACTAATTTGTGTCTTCAATTCCAAATATGATTGTTGTGAATGGAAAAGATGTTTTCTGCTTTTGTAAATCGCATGAAAACACTCACAAAATAGGCTTAACGGTAAATGACTCTTAGATTTGTTCAGAGTATATTTGTAGCGTTGTTAGCTAACACTAAAACGATAAGTCGCTGTAAATATGCGATCAGCTGAGATGCTAGAGATGGGCATATGTCGGATGCTCTAAATGTTAGAACATCAAAACTATCGATAGTTGAATCCGTCGATATAATCAACAGAAAATTTAAATAATAAATCTTATAATTTATTGAGATCAATTAGAACAAATCATATACAAACATACATATGTACATCTGCCCGCAACGCGAAGCAGAATATGCGTAGTTACGCTTTCGGTTTCTGCTTTACTATCGCTTACGCAGTCGTTGCCTAGCGACGGTAACTGTAAACTTTTGGCATTTTGCCTTTGAAATTAACAGGCGTAAATGATCAAAACGAAAGAAGAAGCGCGAGCTAATGACTTCCAGTTGTTGTTGTTTTCGTTTTAAAAATTTGATTTAAAACCATAGAACATTATTTATTACAATCAAACAACAGTGCTCGATGGTCCAATGTATACATACATACAATGTACATACATTATGTACGTACACAGGCATACATACATACATATGTGTGTACATATGCATGCATGTTTCTCTTTACTTTTTCATACATAGACACGAACTGTTGCTTGTATGTGGGTATACATAGTTGTCCCCAACTGTTTGAAATTTTGTATTGTTTGTTCTGCCTGCATTTGTAAAATGCATATTTTGAAAATCCTTGAACGCAAAGTTGTAGATTTAGTTACGTAAATTGCAGTCCCCAAATTTGAAATCGGTCGAAAAAATTTATAACACAAACTTTTCATTTTTTTTTTTTTTTTTCTTCGTATTTTATTTAAAACTGTCCATCATGGACAATCATTAAATTTGATAAAGATAAACTTCTCAGTTTATTATTTCATTTAGAGTGTAGTTGTAGTATCCGGCTAGTCCCTGGGGAGGTCCAGAGGATGGGTCCTGAGCAGCCTCCTGGTCCGTTCGCTGTTGTCCAGCAAGTTCATCGCCAAGTTGTTGGGGTGGTCATGTAGCCTCTGCATGTACCGCTTGCTGATTTTCTTAACTTCGTCCTTCACCCAAGGGAAGCTGAGGACTTCATGAATAGTGTCGTTGTCGTGCAGAGGATGAGCGCTGGTGGCGATGCGGAGAGCTTTGTTCTCGAATGTCTGTATAATTCGGACATTAGTTTTATAGGCGGTGCCCCACAATTGGATACCGTATGTCCAGATTGGCCTGATGATCGCCTTGTATACAAGAAGCTTTGATGACGTCGGCAGCTTGGATCTCCTACCCATCAGACAGTAGAACGCTTTAATGCGGTCTTCTGCCTGGCGGCGCTTCTTCTGCAGGTGCGGTTTCCACGTTAGCCTCCTGTCGAGGGTGATGCCAAGATATTTGGGAGTGTCTTCTTCTGGGATTGTAGTATCATTGAGGCTAACTGGTGGGCAGTTGCCGAAGCGGGTGGAGAAGGTGGTGGCGGTGGACTTATCGCTGTTAACAGAGATATTCCACTTCTTGTGCCACGAGTTAAGCAGATGGAGTTGCTCTTGCATTACCTGGGAGGCCTCTGCTGGGGTGTCTGCTACGGTGAGGAAGGCCGTGTCGTCGGCATATGTGGCTACCATAATGTTGGGGATCAGTAGCACCGGGAGGTCGGCCGTGTAAACATTGTACATAAGCGGGCCGAGGACGCTTCCTTGGGGGACACCAGCGCGAATATCTTTGAGACCTTTCTCGGTCTTAGGAGAATCTGAATACCAAGTTTGATTATTCTAGCTCTTGTACTTCCTGAGATCCTTGCGCTCATACAGACGGACGGACAGACGGACATGGCTATATCGACATGTCTTTTCATCCTGATCAATAATGTATATACTTTGTGGGGTCTACCACGCCTCCTTCTGTGTGTTACATACATTCGCACAAAACTAGTATAGCCTTTTACCCTTTGGGTACAGTCTATACAAATATGAATATAATCACATTAGAATTGCCTCCAAAATGTGTGACTAAATAAAAGAATAATTACCTCTTGTACCCCTCACATGGGCCAACACAGAAAGTGCGTCTTTAGGTTAGGCAGGCTCATAGCAAGAACGTAGATGTACATACAGAAATCATATAATTATATTAACCTGGACGTATTTTACAGCATCAATTCGGTATTTCCTATTATACAGAAGTAACATCGATTTTGATAATTTCTACATAACCGACTATTTCAAGCATGTTGACGGGCGTCGGAAGGATTTGGGCAAGCGATCTATACTACCACTAAGAAGTGTTAGTCCTTTAGATATGTACATAAAATACTCTTGGAGCTATGTACTGCCAAAATTTGAGTAATATTACCTTTGTCGTTTCCAGTACGAGAAATCGCACTTTGTTGATGTGGACAACTTGTGCAGTCGCACCTCGGAGGAGTCGAGCACCGTAGTGTATCACCTGTTACAGCTATCTCTAGAAATAATCACGGCTGGTCTATTTGTACTACTAGATCGTGTGGTTGTTAACCTTCTGGGCATCATACACAGACGCTCATTAATTAACTACCATCAGGAGGGCGAGCACGAGGTTCGCTTTCACGTGCGTAAAACAAATGATTTCTTTCTGCTAACGAAATTGCCTTAATATCATTAATTATATTCAAAACAGATCAACGGGACGGGTATAATGGCAAGGCTACTACGTACCACAATGAAAAATTTCAACATCCATGAACGAGTTTCAACGTCCCTCTCTAACAAGGAGTGCCTACCAGTGGCCCATGTGCTGCCCTCCAGGTAACTTCTCGTAGTTATGCTTTAAGACCCCAATTTGAATTTGCACTTATTTCAGCTTTTATACCAGACTTTTACTGCTGTACTTAGCCATAATTCTGCTCATATATCAGAGCACCACTTTCTTGAGGCTCCGCCGAGTCATTTGCAGTTACTTTTATTACAAGCGGGAGAAACAGCGTATTCTCTTCCTTTACAACCGCATGCTCAGGGAACGCCATTCAAATTTCGAAATTATTCGAAAGAAAGCCGAACAGAACCTCGCTACTCAGAGGGTGCAGGATAATTTTAATATTTGTCTGGTCTGTCAATTAATCTTCTCAACAAAGTTTCTTAATAACATATTTTTCTACTATGCATATTATTATACAGCGTTTGCGCCTGCGCTATCCGGAATTATTTGGTTGTCTGTACGCTTTTAAGTGTGCGAAAAGAAAGTGCCTGATTTGTGAAGCTCTAGAAGGTGAGTTTTCTTTAAGAAGTGTACATGGTTTTTATTAACCTAACGAAACTATCTTTCTGCCTGTCCTTACTAATTGCTTGTCAAATGTCTAAATAGTCCAAACACCTACCGAAACTTTAAAATGTATATTTAAGGCCTAAGAGACTGGAAAATGGTTTCCTCCAATAATTATGCTCTGTACATAAAATGTGCAAGAGTATATTACGTTTGCGGGAGCTGAAAATGTAACAGGCAGTAGGAGGCGTGGCAGATCCCACAATGTATATATATTCTTGATCAGCATGACGAGACGAGTCAATCTAGCCCTATCTGTCTGTCCGTATGAACACCTGGATCTCAGAGAATATAAAAATTTCTATAATAATTAATTTCTATAATTATTCTAAACATATAAACAGAGTATTTCAAAGTCGGCACACCCGACTTTAGCTTTTTTTACTTGTTATTTATAAGTTTGTTCTAATTATTGACTATTCTGCAGATCACATATTTGTCGTGTGTCCGAACTGTGGTCTTCCTTATTGTCATGAATGCAGTCTGGAATTGAATAGCACCTGCATTTCATGCGAGCACACTATGAAATCTGAGTCTGTTTATTCGAAGGCAAAGGAGAGTGGGAGTAGTTCGGATGTATACAGCTATAGAAAAGACAAATGACAAAGTCAAAGAAAAGTGTAAATAAATTAATCATTACTATGTAAACAAGAGGTCTGGTAAGTTTTTTTTTCGGATGCTAGCACTTCAAAGTGCACTGCTTTGTGGTTATAGATTTTATCGGATTATTGTGAGATAACTATCGCAATACTAGTATACTAGTTAAGAGCTGCCCAATAAAAGACAAGCCGTAAATATATCGAAATTTTATTACAAAAAATTTCTTAAAACTTAACAATATAACTACAAATATTCACATTTATTAAATATTTGATCATTTTGAAGATATTGTAAGTATGTCTATATGCATATGTCTTCGTTAAATTCAAAATGACTCAAGTCCAAGAGTGTTTAAAATCTGTTTACTAACACTTACATTCTTTCACAAGAGGGTGTGTGGTTTTTGTTATAATTTTTGGAATTCAATTGTGTATACAAACGTTACAAGTATACTTTAGGTTTGAATCTATGTATGTAAATATGCGTAAGCGATTTTATATTACAAATGCCACGCTTTTAATACCAAAACGCAAACGATTTAGGGCGAAAGTACCAGGCCGTGGGGGGATCAAATAATTTACATTTCACTTGCCCCAAAGATGCGTTACCTACTGATGATGAGCCGCAGACAATATCCCTGTGCTTGGACGTCGACGTATCTCCACAGCATGGACTTTGCAGTCGCCAAATGGTTTTCATTTGCTCAAATTTGCATTTCCACCAAAGTGAAAGGCAACTGAGATGGCATAATGCATAGTATGTCGCGCATTAAAAGCAAGAAAAATAAATATCTATATGTATAAATATAATTTTAAAGACGATCAAAATTACAACATAAAATAAATAATGTTTAAACATGATCTTTTCATTGACTAGGTGTACAAAAATTAAATATGATCGATGCTACGACTGGGATTACATTCACGTCCATGACAAAGGGATCTTTTCGTAATTATCAACATCATCATCATGCTTATAAGTTGCAGAGCTATCATTCGCACCGAATATATACCCACTGTAAAGTTTATATTCTTAATTAACTGGGCCTTTAAATTGACATTGAACAACATGATACCAATATTTCTCGCTTATTGCTGATCCTAAGATTCCCTTTTAAAATCGCTTACACGAAGTACTGGAATTAAGCCAAATTAAATAGTTCGCGGCAACACATAACTTTCACTCTTATGAAGGCAAGACCACTCTAATCACATTAAATCTGTGGTCAGACATGCAAAAATGTTGCCCACAAATTATTCAATTTGACAAATCCTTAGGAATTTTATACAAAAACAGTATTTTATATAAGAACATTTTTTGAGATTTGGCCTAGTTGAAAAATTGAACGAATTTGTGTGACAATAATTTTTCGTGTCTAAGGATAGACACATAAGGTTTTGTATCGTTAAAAAAAAGTTTTAATTTAATTTAGTTTTAATTACTGTCAGTTCAGGATTATGTTACACAAAATTTGGTAAACTGATACTAGCCTGAATGTGAATTGTGTATAGGTCTGCGAAATTTACAGATTGCTGAACTAGATTAATGAATTCTCTGTGGGGATTAAAGAATTCAGGATAACAGACAATGGCTTTATTTCATATACTATATTGTGGGAAACGATGTTGATTGGCTACACAATAATTTAGACTCGAAATTCTGATTCTTGATGTGTTTTTGTCAGTTATATAAAAGTTAATTAGGTGTGTACTTTACATATTTATATAACTACTCGCATACAGCTAGTCCTACACAAGCTTTCATGAATGTAGGTAGGTATCCATATATACAAAGAGTGAATCACAGGATTTAAATTTTAACTATGTTTAACACTCAATTACTATTTCAAATTTAACGGCTTTTTTCGTCAGCTTACGGCTTATATATAAGTTCATTTCGATGTGGGCTTACCACCCATTTCTATGATTGCAATGTGTTTCGTAATTAAAGTAACCACTTAAAATTATTTCATTTGCAGTCCTTATTTGTTGTTGGTTGTTGGTTTTGCTGTAGTTGGTACCGTTGCCACAGTCCTTACCGGCGACGCACTAAGTTTTCTGCCACATCGGCTGAGCAGCTTACGAATCTTCCGGAGCAGCTGTCGCGAGAGCTGGAGTGCATTTGATTTGCCTCGACTTCTGCCTATCACCACGCCCAATTCTTCACTACCACAGTGGCAGAATGGCCCAGTTGTACGCGTTGTCGCTGCTGGCGGTGATGTGAAAACATGCTCCTGCTGAAGGGTTTGTCACCTTAGCTGGTTAAAGTGAACTTCCAGCCAGCAAGGACAGCCCATAATGTCCTGCCTTCGGTATGAGTTGCCCCAGCCTTTGGCGAAACTTATCTTTATGTTGAACCGATCGATGGGTCCGAGAGACTTAACGGTAGGCTGCTTACATGACAGCATTTGGGCCCTATTGGGAACAAGAAAATGGTAAAGCATCTATCTTTCAAAATTCTGCAACTGTACGTACCTGTGGGTGTCAAACGCCTTCAAACAGCGACCAGGCATTACCTTCCAGACGCGATCTGAACACTCCCTCAATGTTGGCGAGTCCACAAAAATCGCCCCATTTCCACGATTGTAAATCCATACGTCGTCGTATTCCAGGTTCAGTGTAATACCTTTAGAAACAAAGTATACGGTTTATAACATGGCGATTTTCTTAAATGAGTTTGCCACATACCTAGGCCGATCTTTTGTTGCGTATGTTGTACACTAGGTGCGGATTTCTTGGAGACCTTTCGCAGACACATATTATCCCCTGCGGCATCAGCGGGCCCATCTGTGTACACATTGACCACTGGGCTCGTCACATGAAATAAATCCCCGACACGCTGATTTAACTCCCAGTACGCAATTTGGCACCACACCTTGGCGCAAGCTGAGCGATCTGAAATAAAGAAAGTATTCACTTATGTGGGTATTTCATGTAGAACAAGTCAAAAGAACAAACGAATTGTTTTTTCTTCACTCGAATAAACAAGGATCTCGGGAATCCTACGGACTTAAGGTGAATAACTGTTGATAGGTGGATATCCGTATATTTATAGATGCTTTTTGAAGTTACTAAATAATATTTCGGAGTCCTACATGGGAGTCGAATCAGAAGAAGGCGAACTGAAAATTCGTGGACCCCAAATCGCGTGCGATCCGATATGTATGTATCCGATATAGTACATAACTATGTATGTATGTACATAAGTACTTATGTATGCATGTGTGTACATATGTACAAATGTACTTTAGTTTTAAAACAAGAAGTGTGCTCAACAATGGATTTACATATATACATACATACATACATACACAATGTATGTAAATATGTACATAATCGTGGAAGAATTCTTAGTTTTGTATATACATACATACATATGTATGTATGTATATATGTATGTAAATACATATGTACATATATTATTTGTATAAAATACACACATTTAATGAGCGAAACTTGCAGATCTTGATTGCAAAATTATATTTATATTATAAGTACATATGCATGTACATATGTTTGTAGCTATGTACATATGTATGTGTGTGCCGTACTCTATGTTGCATACTATGTTAAAATATTTGTGCATCAATTACACGGCTGCCTACAAAATTATTTTTTAAACATGGAAACACACACACCCACAGCCAAACGCATGCCGTGGAGCGCCACACATGCTCAACTGAACTGCGGCGAGTTGAGAGAGGAAAAGAGAGAGCCCCAACCAGATCGAAGCGCAGTTGTGCCAGATGAACGCTTCGTACGCTCGCAAAAGCACGCTCTCGCACGAGCAAAGATACATACATACATACGTAAATACACATGTGTACGTATATATGAACGTTCGTCTCAATATGTGTGTACGTATGTATGTACATATATGCATATATATAAATATGCATGTATGTATGTGTGTGCATGTACATTTAGACATTTAAATGGTAATAATTTTGGCGCCACAGCGTTACGTAAACGGGCCGGCGCCGCTTGGCTGCGGTTCATTTCGAACGAGCGGCGTGCCGAGCGGGCGCTGACGAGCCGAACAAGTGCAAACTCTTCATTTGAAATTCTTGTTAGCATTTAATTTATTTTTATGTCTTTTCATTTTGGTCGTTTACTCTTTCAATTTTTATTAGTTTTGCGCGCTACGGGTTGTGCGGGTCGGGTGGTGTAGGGGTTGACTGACGAGTTATTGGCGAAGTCGATTGGCATTAATACTCGTTGGCTGCGTAGGCGACAGCTAGCCATGACTGCAGAAATGCTGTGCAAGTGCATGGCTTGGTAAGATAATAGAGTAAAGTATAGAAATACGTCAACTGCATATGGTGCACATACATACATACATATGTGCATATGTATGTGTAAATGATCATCGACAGTTGCCAATCTAAATTCCTTGCGTTGGAAGGTAGAATACAATCAAACACACGGTCAAAGCATCCAAGTAACTACAGACATACATATTATGTACGTATGTATGTACCTATTTACATATAAATACATACATATGTATGTAGTAATTATGTACATACATATGTATGTACATACGTGCATATGTTTGTATTTATACTCATGTGTTGGCGTCAAACAACAATAAGCCCCAACCCCAATTATATAGACAGCTTGCGCCTACTCCTACCCTCATCTTCCCATGCAATGCCACGGAAATTTGATGAAAAGGCCAAGTCGTCCGGCGGACGCCGGCCGCCCAATGGCGCCAAAGTCAAAAAAGAAATCGCAATAAAATCCGCAAACAGCTCTTACAATTTTTCATGAATTTATTGGCAAGAGGTTTGGCACGGAAGGCGGACGGGAACAACGCTGTTGGTTTTGGCCATTGCAAGTGGCGCCTGTTTGCTGTTTACCTAATTGGGTCGACGCCATCGCTCGCCATTGCTGTCGCCGTCGCGACGCGTCACGGCCACGAGAAAGCCTTTGCCTTTGACGCTGGTGCCAGCGTCGCGCCCCAGTAAAATATGCCATAATTATGAAATGACGAGCGCGGCAGGGGCGACGAACGAAAACAATTTTGTTTGCATGGTTTGTATTTAAAATCGAATTAAAACAAACAAAACAGAATAAAAATACCATGTGAACGCAAAAACAAATATTCAAATGTGCATAGTATGTACATAAATATACTTAAACAATCGTACATACATGCATATGTACATATGTATATATGTATGTATTTATGTAAAGTGAGAGCAAAACGCAATGCAAATGTGTAAGTACAAGTACATTGTCTCGACTTAACTTAAATTGAAATTTCTTACAAGACTTCTGATGGTAGCAGGAAAATACACACCAGGCTTTGACTATCTCAACTATGTACTATCCTACACAACATATTAGTAAGTTCCATAAATCCAACTGTGCCGACGACCTGTCTTTAGATCACTTACACACATACATGGATGTATGTATGTATGTACATACATACATATATACAATTTGATGTTTGTATATACATACACACATATGCACCCATGTAAATCGATGTACAAATGTGGGATCTTTAGCGCCACCATGCCGCTCTTCTCTTGATCTTCGCTATTTTTGTTGGTTTTTGTTGCTGTTTCTGTTGTAGGTTGCGCACATCCACGGACCACTACATCATCTTTAAATTTAGAATATTTTATCTTCTATCTTTGTTCATACTAACACACAAAAACACACCATTATACGTATGTACATAGAAGCAATGTATGTATGTATATGCACGTATGTATGTAACATACATTTTTGTAAATTGTGAACTTTAATCAAACCTATACACATACATACATATGTACATACAAACGAAAAAAAAGGCTATGTATATACATATACATATATGTATGTATGAAAATAAATACTCACATACATACATACATACATACATATGTGATATTTCTATGTTGCTTGGCCATTTCTTAGTCTATACAATGTTAAAAAGGGACCTAGTCAGCATTCTTTATTTTTACAAATATCGCTTATACGTCCCATTGTACAAGTGTGTTGCAATACAAATGCAATGCACATATACATACATACATACATGTATGTATGTATGCACATTGATCGAATCCACCCTAACCTACTGTGCCGATGCACAGACTTTTCAGACAGACAGACAATTTATGGATAAATATTTGGGCAAGTATCTTGGTTTTTCTGTTTTTCTTAAATGGCAAGAGTGTGAACTTAGTTGTTCAGATGGGTCACGACTCAGTTTTCTAAAAATGTTTTTCCATTTTTTGTGGTTGCTGACAAGTTACTTTTCCAGGTTCAACTCCCATAAGTTTAAAACCAAACCAGAAAAAAGTTGGAAGATATTGCTGATTGTAAAAAGTGGGGGATTTGCCTTTCTACTACATAGTACTTGTATGGAATTCCTGGGCAAGGAATAATTTATTTAATAAGCTTGAAGTCCTCTATTCGCCGACAGGTTTTTAAAAGCTATAAATATTCGAAAAAACATTTGAAGTGCAATTAAATAATTGTGCTATTCTGTATTCGTAATCAATTTAGTCGAAGATTAAATGTACATACATATGTACAAGGTATTAATATATTCCCTAGCCCGAGCAGTAAATATATTCACAAAATTTACTCGAATACAAAATACTTATTCTTAAATGGCAATAACTTATGTACATACATACATATGTATGTACAAAGGCGTAAGAGTTACATTTGCCTAATTAAATTTTAGTTCTAGTCTATTAGCTTGTTCTATTTTAAGCTGAGTCGTTTCAACGCTTAACGCCATCACCACCGCCGACTAATCGTCGTCGAATAACGTGTCGCGACTTAACGGTCCATTCAAATGTAAAAGTTTTCCCGCCATTTTGTCGCCGCAACAATGCCATAAAATGTTTAAAAAAAGGCAGCTCCATGGCATGAATGATATCATAGCCGGCGCTGACGTTGCCGATAACCAGCCGCGCGGTTCGTCGCGCCAATCCCCAATCTCCAATCCCCGCATTCAGTCGGCGGTCGTTCCACAAACTTTGGTGAGCAAGCGCAAAGATTGTTGACGCCGCGACCGCCGGCTCGCTTATTCACATTCGGCGCGCACTACTTGTATTTGTTTTTCGCTCATTATTTATTTTCGTTTCGTTTTTGCTGTTTTCGCTTGAAAGTTAATATCAATATACACACACAAACACACATACATATGGGATGTATGTACATACATACATACATAGAAAGTGACGACCTGACGCGGCAAGCTGGCGCCACGAAAACGACTGCCTGCTTGGCTTGCCTCTCGGCGTGCACGCACGCGACCGTAACTCACATACATAACATACACAGCCATGGATACACTGACACACTCGCAATATCAAATACGTACGTACATACATACATACATATTGCATGAGAGCTTGTGTACTACAACAACAACGGCCGGTTTTGCGGGTAACTTGAAAAGATGAACAACAGAATGGAGCATAGGCGGATAAATGATGCGGATAAGTGATGGCCATGACTCAGGACTAAACTCACCTTCACCATCAGTGGTAAAGGACTCCACCTCGGACCCTCGGTTGATAGCGCTTGAAAAGCTTTGACTGTTGCTTTGCGCGCCCCACTGGAAGGCCGATTTTTCCGTAGAATCTGCAATCTTGGCATTATAATTATCGTTCTACGTAATTGCATTCGATGATCTTACCTGCATCTCTCAGTCTCAATATCTTGGAGCACTGGTACGGTGGTGGTGCGGGCTCTGAAAGTGCAATCGAAAAAAGAAGAAACCTGTAGTTTGTACATACACATACATACATGCATACATACATATGTATGTCTGGTATGATATGATTTGCGAGCTCGAATCGCTCTGATATATTTCCATAACTTTGGAACATCCCACGTCGTTCATTGAATAAATAAATACATGCAAACATGTGTATGGGTATTTAATGGTTATAGCAAACATTTTTATGTTAATCGATATCTGTGAAATGTTTAAGCTCAATGGGCGTGTTTTTGAAACTTAATTTTGTTGAAACTTCTAGTTAGTATTTATATTGACACATTTGTAACCATGAGACTGCCCACACACCTGTGAGTCTGAGGCGATGCTTATACGAAATCGCAAAATAGTGCGATGTTACCGCGGTACGCAAAAAGAGTGGCTTATGTCTATAATTAAGTATGCCAGTCCCAATACTGCAATCAGCGGGCAATTTTGGTTTTTGGTTTCTTGCTTCTTATATAGACATGTAATGCGCATGCATCAGTCAAAATTAACACAATTTCGATTTTGGGCTTGTCTATTTTTTCTTCAACACATGCAAATCAAGTGTGCTTAAAAGGTCTTAAGTTCACTTATTCATGTCATAGACTTTTATTATACAAACATGTTCAAATTGGAAAGTTTAAACAATAAACTGTTCTTAATTACAGAAAAAAGTTGATATGGACTCATTTAAAGTGTGAAAATAGTTACCACTTTACCCTTTTGTTTGGCACATGAAATAAAACAAATAAAAAGCTATAGTCACGCCAACCAGAGTCTTAAATATCCTGTTACCACCTTCTCGCCGTCTCATAAAGAATAAAGGGGCTGGAAATTCAATACTTTATACAGAACTTGGTAGTTTCCAAAATGAACTCAACATTAGTAGATAAAGTCGAAAGTTTTGCCAAATTTTGGCAATATCAATAGTAACAAATTATTTGCATTATAAATGCATTTCTACTTGAATTACCCTCCCACAATAAGAAGCGATGAAGATTTCTTCAATCACAACAAGTAGCGAAGCTAAAGTCGGGTCTCCCGACTTTGAAATACTCTGTACATATGTTTAGAATAATTATAGAAATTAAAAAAATTAAGAAAATTTAAAAAAAATGGATCGATTGTACCTCTTTCAGTATTCGAACTCACGTAAAGGGTGTATAATTGTACATTTACATAGCATTTGCGTCTATGTGAGTGTATGCATGTCTATTCGTGTCTGTGGGAGCATGTTTACAGTCAACCAAAGCACCAACATCAAAAACAGCTGCGGGAAGCGCTTGGTCAGGAATTATATTTATGGCTATAACTTCCTGTTTAATCGGTCTATCATATCAAGTTCCAAGAATTACGGGGGCTATGAAAGATCACTAATTATGGGGGGAATTCCAAAATACACATTTTCTGCGTATTCACATTAGGCATCTGGGACTAAAATTGAGTGTCCCTAGGTCTTATAGTCTGCGAGATATAGGCGATTAATCGAATGGAAAATCGGGGGGGGAAGTGGGGGGGGGGGGACGAATAAAGCAAACTTGCACAGCGTACACACATAAGGCATCTTTGTGCAAAATTTGGTGTCTATCTCTTATAGTCTCTGAGATCCAGGTGTTCATACGGACGGACAGATGGACAGACAGACAGACAGACAGGCCTAGATCGACTAGTCTTGTCATGCTGATCAAGAATATATACTCTGTGGGGTCTGCCACGCCTCCTTCTGCCTGTTACATTTTTCAGCTCCCGCAAACCTAATATACTCTTGTACATTTCATGTACAGAGTATAAAAATGTTCAATTCAGAACTATTTCATTTACGATAGAATTCAGTCACTCTTTCAAACTACATATGTATATACAAGTATGTACATATGTATGTATTTATGTAAAATAGTCTTGCATGCAGTTAATGCGAAATTGTGATTATGATTGAATTCTGTGACATTTCTGTGTAAGCCAATGGTTTGGAAAATCTGTAATTTCCGTGGAGGTGCGTGGAGATTTGATACCTAAGACAAGTTTAAGTTTGCTAAGGGCTGGGGAGATGCTTCACTTGGCTCTGAGCGGCCAAAACTACGAGCTACAAATGCATGCATGAATTTATTATATTGACGCGTGTTTGAGACGAGCCGTGCGATGAGATCATGCCGAACAAAAATAGTATTTGAAAACACAACAACATTAACCAAAACAGAAACAGAAACCGAAACAAACTTGAGGCGCAAGCAAACCAAATAGCGGCAGCAATGGCGACAGAGACGACGACGGCGACGGCGGCGTCAAAATAAAAATAAATAAATAAATATAATAAATAATGTTTGCATATCAGCCCAGCCAGCAGCACTGGGGGACATTTTATTGGCGCACAAATCGTTTGATGTTGCGTTCGCAACCGCCGCTGCTGTCGAGAGGGGCAGCGACTGTGGCTTCGGTTGTGACTCTGAGATGCGATGTGAAGGGGAGGCGGAGGGCATGGAAGTGGAGGAGCAACTGGTGTAGACGTCAGCAGAACTGGAGGTGCTTGTGCTGGTGCTTGGGCCCAGGCCTGGGTCTGGGTACCAGTAAAACCTGATTACGTTTTGCCGCTGTCAGTCGCGATTGCGAGCGCGTCGCCAATCTATGAACAACAGTTCTTGAAAAGACAAAAACGAAAAGGCAAACCGAAAACGAATCAAGCAGCGAAATTCCGATGCCGTGTGCTGCCTTAATCACCATAGCTGACCGCCGAGCGCCCCCTCACTCATCACGATCACCAATCCAGCTAGCCAGCCGAAAAAAATCCAACTTTTTTGTTTCGGCATATTCGACATTTAATATGATTGATGGGATCATTTTGTAAAAAAGAGGAAAAAGGGTACAGGCATCATAAACAAATACATAACAAGTTAAATACGCCCAAGCCAAAGAAAAAACCAATACAAACAGACACACAAACATGAATGAGTGTACATGTGTTTGTATATGTACATATACATACATATGTACATACATATGTATAAACAATGGTCAAAGCGACAAATGAATGAAACAGGCAAAATATAGAAACTTGGCCCTATAAAGCGCAATTAGTTTTGAATACTGGGGGATCTAAGAACGCAGTTTACAGACATTCTCAAACTGTTCACATACAGATGTACTATGTACATACATACGCACAGATGTATTTAAATACGTGTGTACGTATACATATGTATATGCTTCATTGATTTGTATGCACAAACATACATACACATGTACACACACAACCAACCACATCGATATGGGTCTTTTCGTTCAGTCACAGTCATATCTTAGCAGTCCTCGTTACGATTCCTGGAATTGCGCTTTCAGCTTGAATGTGGACGGAATACCATTATCGACTTGTTTAATGTGTTCGGCGCCATCATTAAAAAACCTGTCGGCGCGGCCAGACGCTAAACGACGTTGATGCTGTGCCTCTTGCTTTTGGTTGGGAATGCAACGACATCTGCCGCAAGTTGCAGTTGCACGAAAGCGGACGCAGACGCAAACGCAGAGGTAGACGTTGGACTCGATACGTCCGGGCACATTACACACACATACATATGTATGTACATATATGTATGTATGTATGTACATGTATGATGTACAACACACTATGCAGGTCCTTAAAGTGCAATTATAATTCTGTGTTAACTATGTATGTTGGATACTCTGTTCGAAAACTTGAGCTTATTTCCCTGTTCTAAATCAGCATGACAAGATAAGTTCGCTTTGGTACCTTATTATTTTTAGCAACTATAACCCTGGAGCTGCTATTAACTACAATCCTCTCGTAGTCCATACGACAAGACTCGTATGATTTTGTACGTAAGAACTCGATTCATTAAAAGAGAATTAAGATTGAACGTTGAGTTGTTTATTTATAAAACGACTCTAAGCTTGTGTGTAGAATTTTATATCAATTATTCAAATCATATAAATACTACATGTAGTATTTGTGTAATAGATGTGATTAATGGGAGGATTAAAAGTAATGGCATAAAACATTTTAATAAAAATCAATGGGAAACCATACAAAAAACATTTCAGATCTTTCTTTAATTGGATGCCTAGAATCGATATTCTGTTTAAAAACAATATAGTATTTTCGCTTTCTTTTAATGCTTCAATTACGGATATAGCAGCATATCGAGAGTTTTAAGTAACGTCCATGTAAGAATGGAATTATTAAAATGGCGCTACGACAGGAAAGAAATACACGTAAGTATTCAATGATCGCTATTAATTGATTAAGCTTTGAATGAAGAACTATGTAAATCGGTCTCTTTATATCCAAGTATTTTGATTTTTATTAATACATAGCGATGGTAAAACGTGTAGCAAAAATACTATACACTTTCCTTCAAAATTACAGGCAAATCTACACAATGTATGCGCTTATTTGTATTAGCAATTGTATATTGTTCAAATTCACATATAGTATGGTATGCATATGTAGATGTATATACATACATACATATATGTATGAATGCATGTTTGTATGTACATATACATATGTGTGAGCAACTATTGCAGCTCTGGCCGTTCAGGCAAAACTGCAGTGCACAGATACTGTGAGTGTGTGCGGCGGGTTCTAAAAATGAAACATACAAATCGGAAAAATAGTGCGAATGCGATTTTCAAGCGAATACTATCTAGCGGATGACGGGGATGGACAGGGGCAAAAGCGACGTTTGCGTTGGCGACGACGCATGATTATTTCCTGGCGCCAGTTTCTAAATTTACGCAAATTATTTTGAAAAGAATTTAGCCGCCGTCATGGCAGATTGGCCCGGTCGGTCGGGCGCTGTTTATTATTGTGATTTGTTAGTCGGCCGCTTATTATGAGCGATGAAAAACTGTAAGTACATATAAGTATGTACAATACATACATATGTACGTCAAATATGCACACACATATGTATGTACTTGTATGTACTACATGTATAATATGTGATATTTTGTGCTATTCTCATACTATGTTAAGGTACACGAGTATTTTGTGTAGCGCCTAGCTTTGATGGGATACACATCGTGAGGAAATACCTCGTCGTTATGTCAACAGTATGGAGTGGTCTGTGTTGTTCACAGTAGTTAGTAGAGTGGAATAATGCTAATCGATGTACGACCCCTCGCCAACAGATAATAGTCGTTTGTGAGAGCAGGTCAAAAGGTAAAGCTGTATGTTGTTGGAGAAGGAGAAAGGAATCTCTGGGACTTTGGCTTACATTCTCTAACCATGCCTACTGACGGACCTGGGACTTGTCTTCGGATTCATATCGCCTATCTGGGCTAGTTGCCGGTATTACCCATGATCCGGAATGTGTAGAATAGTGGTTTTACTGTTTAGGATGGGATATTTGTGTGATATATAGTTCGTATTTTCAAATCTATGAAGTATGTATATATTAATACCATGACTAACATCATTATAATGATATCAAAAGATTTTCTTTTGCACATATTAATGAAAAGTTCGTAAAGGAGCTTTTTTTTTATTAATAACGGAATGTAGCAAATACATTTGGGTTAATAAGATCTTAGCGATTAGATACTACAAAATTAATATGATAAAGGTACACTGTGTATTTTAAGAAAATATATTTATGATTAACGGAAAGCGTTGGTGTCAGTATAAAGTGAGTTAGAGTTATTTTGAGATTTTGTGATGAAAAGCTACAGTAATGCTTTACAATTTTGCTATTTGGTAAATGCATTTATGAATGTTTTTTTGATTCACCCAATCCATAGAAGTTTTCAGATATTTAACCAAAATATTCCTACCTGGGTCGGTGATATAAATAACGCGATACCAGTGCAGCGGATTGCAGCAGTCGTAGATACAATCGTGTGCACTGGAACAGATGGGAAGGCGTTTCAGTTCTACAGCACTCCTGAGGTTTTTCCAAAGGAATAGGCGGCATACGGTCACATGCTTCTCCTCGACGGCGAGTTGATTCTTCTTTATCAAAATGCAATCCAGGTAGCTTGTGGTATTTTTGCCATTGCGACTCTTCAGAGCGTCCAGGAGCGCGGCAACCTGCTTCTGCTTCAGCTGCTTCGTCAGTGCTTCGACTTCCTGAGCAAGTGCGGGAGGCGTTGCTGTTAATGGGCACGTCGATGTGTTCAGTCCTCGTGGATTTGGGCAGGTGGGAAAACTCAGGTTGGCATCGTTTTGGTGGTAATGGTGTCGACTCGCTCGTTTGCTGCTCGGGTGCAAGGAGTCGCTGCTGGACTCCGACAGGTGATCGCTGCCACCACAGCAATTGCGAAATATGTTCGCTGCACTCATTGCAAAGTTTGTTGCGGTAGTGAACGTCGTCGGAGTTGCAGGTGATGTCGGAGAGGGTCGAGAGGGGTCCGAATGATAGTGGATGCAGCTCGGCGCTAAGCGCCATTGCTTGTTTTCGTCGACTAACATATCGTCGCCAAAGTTTCCGCAGCTGTAGCCACCTTTGGTACAGACGGGCTGCGGTTCGCTGCCCAATCCCTCCGTGACTGAGACTGACACGTCCGCCGCGACCCCATCCGCTGGGAAGACTAGATGTTTTAGATGTTGGTGCTGGTGGTGCTGATGCTGGCGTTCCGAGCTGGAACAGTCTATGGCGCAGGACATCGAGCTGTATGGCGGCGGGGGCGTGTGCGACTGCTCCTGCATTAGAGTCGAATTCGACTCGTCTGAATAGCAGTTGAAGCTGCCCACCGATGATCGCGATGACGTGTTTGGCGTCTGAGGGTGGTGTGGATGTGGAGGGGGCGGCAGCTGTGGTGGCTGTGTGGGTGGTCCATCGCACGTAGCCGCATAGTTCTTTTCCGCATAAAGCAATAGTTCTTTTTTTTTGTTCTCTTTTTGGAATATCATGGAGGGACATCAATTTTTTTGGTAACATCGATCCTATCGTATGCGCATTATTTGAATTGACTAACTTATATCACACGCACACAAGAGCCCGGTTAGTCGTGGTCGTTGGCGGTGCGCTAGGTGCGTGGGAATGAAGAAGAAACGGGGAGCGACACAACTTTGCCGTTGGCTCTGTCTGCTTTTCAAGTACTTAGCTGCTTCAATTGTTTTTCACGTTTGAGAATTGGCTCTCTCGTTGCTTAATACATATAGTATTGTATCTATACATATAAATATGTAAGTATATCACTTAATAACTTTGATATGCTCAAGGGCGATTTTATTGGTTTGATATGCACTCTGAAACGAAAAGATAACAGAATTATTAGTCACTGCTTCTTCATTGTTCTGATTGTTGGAAGCATGGGTTTTACAAATGTGTGCATGTTTTCATTTAAGTGCGTTTAACATTATTTTAGCAAATTGAAAAGACTCTAATTTAGTATCATAACATTGCTATACATGCTCAAATAACACCGATAGTTTCTTAATAAATTGATATTGCGGTAGCTAGCCTTCTTAAACTACATATACGTACATACATATGTATGTGCTTATGCCTGTGTATTCGTACAAACACATATTCCGGTTTTACACTTGCTTTTAGGATTGCAGTGAAATCAACCAATTTATTTTTTCGTGTTCTAGCAATCGCGCGATTTGCTAACGAATAGTGATTCGCAAATTTCAGTTTTAAAGGGTTTCATTCCCTATGGTTGAGTTGAGTAAAGACAGCTATAGGGTTATCAGTCACGACATATTTTCTGTTTACAAAATAATTTCACACATTATTTTGTAAAATAACAATAAATTAAAATGAGAAACTAATTTGTAATTATCGAAACTGGTTTAATTAAGAAAAATAGTAATAAACTTTTATCACTCAGGCACTCAAGACAGTCCTAACCATAAAATAAAATTTCATTTCCGGTTGTAAATTAGAAAAGTTTTTCTAAAAATGTGAACTATTACATAGTTATAAAAGTACTTAGTCGAAAAGCTTAAAGAAAATATAAGAGATTCAATATATTAATATACTAAGTTTTTGCAATTAAACAATTTTTTTTATGCATTGAGATATAAACTTATCGCAAGCGCAAAATTTTGCAATTATCATAAATTATAAATGGGAAAAGGTCTGTCATATGTACATACATACATATACATGTATTTGGATTCTTATTTGGAAAACAAGAAAGGAATGCTAAAGTCGAGCAGGCTCAACTCTTAATTACCCTGTACCACCCCACAAAAAAATTAATCAATTTAATTTAATTTATTAATTAATTAATTTAATTAAATTAAATATAAAATATTCCATACATGCATACATTCATTTACATCAGAATCGTGTCTATGCGTGTTTGTGTACTTGTACATATGTATGTATGTGTGCATTGGGCCTGGTTATATGGCTATAACTTTCTTTATGATCAACCTATCATATTGATATACGGATATATAATTACTAACTGGATGTGTCACCCAAATTTTAGTTCAAAATTCCAAGAATTACGGGAGTTATAGAAAATCGTGAATAGGGGGGAGTGGGGGGGGGTGCATCGAGAAAAATGAACAAACTCGTCCTTTCTCGGGCTCAGAAGAATCTAGATACCAAGTTTAGTTATTCTAGCTCTTATACTTTCTGAGATCCTTGCGTTCATACAGACAGACGTACAGGCGGACATGGCTATATCGGCTTGTCATGCTGATCAAGATCAAAGTATATATACTTTGTGGGGTCTGCCACGCCTCCTTCTGTGTGTTACATGTCAACTCGCACCAAACTAATATAAGTACCCTTGTACCCTTTGGGTACAGGGTATAATAATTTTGGGAGTCAGTCACATGTAAGTTCATAAAAGAATTTGTACATTTCTTAAACATTTAATATTTCAAAAATCATTTAATGAAGAAATACTGTATGTACATATGTTTTGTTAATTTTACAACTTTCATACGTTAGATGCATTCTGATGTTGTTTTGTATGTAGAGCTGCACATATGTACATATGTATGTACATATGTAAATATGTACCATGTTACCACCATCGTTGAAGAAGCAACAAGGCTCCAGCAGCCAAATGCCCGGGAGCATATATGTATGTATGTACATATGTACATGCATGCATATGCATACATACAAACATAATTTGTCTGTATGCACATTTGCGCTCAAGGTTTGTTGCTTTTGTTCGTTGGCTGGCTTTCTGGCACTTCTTTTTTTCTTATCGATGTCGACGACGACAGCGGCGGCGCCGCGCCGGCAAAGTGATGGCACGGCAGCGGAGGCAACAAGAAATTTACTTGCCATCAAGCTAAATACATACATACATACATACATACAGACAGACGTCCGTACATGCGCTCACTCACTCATTCGCTCACATTTACAAAATCTACTTGCTTGCGTGCTGCAGTCGCCGGCAGTTGTCGGCACGGCGCGACGCGACGCAGGCCCAAGTAGGCGCCAGTGGGCGCCACTGACGTAATAAAAGAAATAATAGTAACGATGTCGGCGGCGTCGTCGCTATGGCGCCACCAATATAAACTTATATCAGACACAGACGAGCGCGCACACACATGCATGCAGCACAGACGCGAACACACACACAGAGGCAACAACAGCGCCATCAACAATAAAAGCGGTTTGACAACAACTTGAGGTGAATGTGCACTAATGTGGCGCTCTCACACAAGTGTGTGGTAGGTAGAGAGGTAGAGCAGAGAGCATGGTTTGCCATGAGTCGGATGGTCATGTATTTATGTATGTGTGTGTGTGAACAAACACATTTCCAAATTCTGCTTAAAAACCATCGAATAAAAAGAATGTGGCGTTCGAGGCAGATAGGAAATATACTGTGGCATGCAGTAAGACAAACAAATGGGACGTTGAAGAGTTCAATGGGGCACAAACTTTTTGCGAGAAAATTGCGATTGTAGACAAGAGCGATACAAGTATACATACATATGTATGTATGTATGTGCATAAGTACGTACATATGTATGTGTGTATGTAGATGCAAGTGCAAAACATTTTTCAAAAGAGTACGGAACAAGTGTGTATGTGTGACTGCTTGCTTTGCTATGTCTGTGTGCTGCTCCCGCTTCCTTCGATTCTCCAACCCACACCGAAACTATAAGCACATGAAAAAATGTCCGTTTTCACCATGATTGAATAATCATATACTTGTACAAATGCACAATTATTGGGCCTTTATCATAGGCATACCCAGTAGTATGTGTGCTCAATAAGCAGCATCTACATTTCGGATTCGTGCTTGAAATCTAAGATTATGCCATGTATGTATGTATGTATGTATAGATATGTATGTATGTACATACATGCATACATACATACTTGTATGTCTTGTTTTCACAGTTCATAATTAATGCAGTCATACTTATTTGATTTGATGGTCAATGCCATAAGGTGCGGCTTTATAACTACATACTATATGAATGTATATATGTAAATACATACATATATACTTTTTATAGCTTGTATCCAAAGGGTGAAGGGCTATACTAGCTTTGTGCGAATGTATGTAACACACAGAAGGAGGCGTGGCAGACCCCATAAAGTATACATATATATTATTGATCAGGATGACAAGACAAGTCGATATAACCATGTCCGTCCGCCCGTCCGTCTGTCCATCTGTCTGTATGAGCGCAAGGATCTCTGGAAGTACAAGAGCTGGAATAACCAAACTTGGTATCGAGGTTCCCCTAATTCCTAGGCAGGTCAAGTTTATTTTTTTATTCTGATACACCCCCTACTTTCCCAAAATTTCTGTTTTTTTATAAATTCCATAATTTGTGGAATTTTTAAATCAATTTTTTTCATTTTTTTCAGGTAGTGCTAATGTGTCCGTGTGCCAAGTTTCATCATGATAAGTCAATTCTGAAGAAAGTTATAGCCATAAATAAAATCGCTGCTCATGCGCTGCCTGCAGCTGTTGTTGTTGTTGCTGCTTTGGTTCAACTTTGTGCTGCATACATACACGCATATAAACATGCATAGGCACGTGATGTAAATATATGCTGTTAAAACTGAACATAAACATGTCTTCTAACTTAATTTAATTAATTAATTAATTATTTCATTTTTTTAATAATTTCATTTTTAAATTTTTTTTTAAGTTTCCTTTTTTGTGGAGAGTACAGGCTATTTTACTGTCGGGCTTGCTCCACTGTAGCGTTCTCTCTTGTTTTTATTCATTTCTGTATGTACATACATACATATGTTCTTTTGACTACATACATATGTATGTACATAATTATTTAGAAAAGTTATGAGCAAATTTCATATCTGGATGCTTGAACACTACCTTCAACACAGATACTTCAGGTGTGCGATATTTAAATATTGTATCGGAAAGACAAAATTGTGTATAATGCGTAACAGTTCGTTAACAATCATTAACATTTGATTTTCAGATGCTTACTTACTGTTAAACTGTAGTTGAGGAAAGTACTATGTAACTACATATGTATGTATATGAAAAGCTTTAGGTTTGGAAATAGCCATGTTCTACTATCCAGTCTCACTGATCAAATATTTACATACATACATAAACGTTACTTTGAAAGCTAATTATATAAGCTAGCTCGAGTATATTTTATAACTTATAGCATCTATGATCCCAAACTCAACAAATTTTATTTACAAAACAAAGATGTTCCGGCATGGAATCTACCCATCTGTCTATTGAGCGTTACAAATATAAAAAAATATACCCTACAATGCTCTATTAGCCACAATAAAGTATATATTTTGTTTTTAATATAAACGCAACTGAAATATCCAAACTTTCTATTCAATCTTCAGGTACACGGATAAAAAAGTGCTCACAGCTATCCCAACTTTATTTCACAGTCTACAAATATGACTCAATCTCCATACATAGAGTCCTATAATTCAGTGAACTAGAATTCTTAATTGTATTAAACCAAAACGACTTGACAAGAGAAGCGTCAATTGAACTCCAATAACTACATAAGCGTTTTCAATCTAGAAGTGTGTTCAGAACTTGAAAATGTGTCGATTTTTAATTAAATTAGTTAAATAATATTCACCTACTCATGTTAACATACACACATTCGTAGAATTTTAAATAAAAGATTAACTTACTGTGTTCATTTCATGAGTTCCTTCAATGATGCTTTATCCGCTGTGTTTTGATTGCGCCATTAATATGTATGTTTATTTACTAAGTTGCTTGTATTCTTGATATGTATTTAAGGTTTCCCAGTTGATTTGTAATGCTTCAGTTAAAATCACCTTCAAATGAGTGAGTATTGAATATTAACAACCGCGATTTTTTCACAACTTATCTATGAATGTATGTATGTATGCACGTATTTGCTAAATCGATCGTTTTTGCAGCTAATTTTACTTTTAACAGAGAGTCGGGACTGATATCTGTTGAGTACTCTTTGGCGTAAATAAATATTTACGGTCCTTTAAGGGTAGTGGGATCAATGTGCCGCTTGGTCGCATTCCAGGCTCCGATTTTTCTTCAAGGTGGGCTGGGTTGTTAATGCTATTCTCAATCGAAAAATTTGAAATTTGATTTCATTCATTAGTCTTTTCAGCGAGCTCTGGGCGTGTATAAACTAACAGTTCGAACGTCAGCAGCAGCCCCGCTCTGGCCATAAGAGTGAGAAACAGAAACACAGCAACGTGATCACGGTGTTTGCGTTGCCAACGGGCGCGGGCACGGGTTGAGCGGCAGTGGGTGGCGACCGGAGGGTGCTCAATGCGCAAAGAACAAAAAAAAGAGCACTGGCTAAGAAATTCTAGCAAACAAATAACAAAAGAGACGACGGCGGTGGTGGCCGGCCCCAATAATAACGTCAACCAACAGCACCAATGGCCACGATAAGAGGGCGAGCCAACCAACTCAACAACTGTCTGTGCGTCCCTCTGACCAACACCAACGGTACGTTAGTAAATACATACAAATGCATATACATACATATGTATGTACTTTTATACATATATACATAGGTTTCACCGATCACTGTGCGCACTTTATGTATATATATATATGTAAGTATGTAAGCACATGTGTGCGTGTTGTATTTCTGTTGCCGTTGGTGATGATGTACATACATACATATGTCCATATGTATGCATGTATGGATGTAGCTGCTGACGGTCGGCCGCTCGACGATTCGATTTCGAAGCAATACATACAAACATAAATACAATTGATTTTTATAGATTTTATTGTAATTATCGGCAAGGATACGTGAGCGTTTACTCCAATTTTCATATTTTATTCGCCGGTTTTTGGCATTTCATATTTTTCTGTTTGCTTGACAAATTTAATTCAAATCAAATAAACTTCACAAAATTTTGCTTACGTTTGAGCGATTGGACGGTTGGATTTATTTTCTTTGCATTTCTACATATACATACATATGGATGTATTGTATTTAAAAACCGTTCACTTCACTTTACACTTGGGATTGCGCCGCACAGTACTCGAAAACAAAATTGGCAAAATGAATCGCAAACAAAAATTTAAAAAATATTTGTAAAATCGCGCCCGCCACACGAACGACACAAGAACGGAACAGCAACTAAGCCAGCAGTTGGCAATTGTATCTGAATCTCTTGGATGTGTGGTGAGTTCAGCGGCGCCGTCTCCCGCACACTAATACACACAACAAAGAGAGAGCAAGTAAGAAAAATAAAAACAAACGAAACGCGCAGCAACAAAACGTGCAGTCGACGAGTAGTTGCCATCCTCTCAGTTGCTCTGGGGCTGGTGCTGCAAAACTGAATTTCACAAACAATTTCAGGGCAGAGAGCATGTGCTGTCTATCTCTTTTGCTGTGTTGGCAGTGCCGTAACTTGCAAGATAGTATTGAAAAATGGCTTAGAAAATTCATTTGAAACTTTTTGTAACTTCTTACCTAATATCCGTTATTTCTTAAAGTAATGGTTACACTTATTTTTTAATGTTATGAAATTTTTGTAGTCTACTAGTTTTAAATAGAATCAATTTGAAACAATTAATAAACCAAATTTATTAAAATACCTTATTATATAATGCTGTATTACACAATTTTACACTTCGATCTGTTTGTTAATGTGATTCATGCTTATTCAGAAACTAACATTAAATATTTATGTTTTGTTATGGCCAAAGTTGTAGGCCGTTTCCTTGCATAAATATATTTAAAGAAGAATCATTTTTACAACACAACTTAATTTAAACTATCAAATTCTGGTTTTAGAATTTTAAATTTCATCAAGTGCTATACTATTTGGAACGCGGTTTCTTAAATTGAATGAAAATGGAGTAGATTTTAGTTTCTAGAGGAAAAATATAATCACGCGTTTATTTTGTATTATCATAGACAATTCTAGGGCTGTGAAGACCTTCCTTTATAAGCCTAGATAAAACGGTAAGAAGCGATGCCACCATTGGCGAAGTCGTTAATCGAACAACTCTAAATCGGATGACAACCGCGTATATATGGTATATACATACATACATATAACGTAGCCACAAACTGGTAGCGAAGCACGACCATGCAGCACATTTAACGTCTTTGCAGTTCCTCTGAATGTGTGCGATCAAGGGCATATCAGATCCTGTCTGCAAACCAGTGGCGCCCCTTCTTCACAAACACTAACAGACAGACGCTCGTAAAAGTATTTATGTATGCGTATGTGTATGTAGGGAGTGGACCCAGCAAGCGCACCAACTGAGATAATTGTCTCTCGCTTGATCGACTTGAAAAAACACAAAAGCAAATAAGCTGCTGTCATTACAATAATAACAGGTCGAGACCGCAGGCCGACTCGTCCGTCGACGGCGGCGACCGTCTGTTGTTCACCGCCGTCGTGGCAGTAAAGTGCACAAGAGTCGGCAGGTACAGGTACAGGAGTAGAGCGCGGATAGAGAGTGACTCACGTGAAGACAGGAAACTGCAGCAGAAGTTTGAATAAATTATGAAAGCGATAGCGCTGCGCAATGTGGGATCAGTGGCCGAGGAAACCTAGCCTATATAGGCCCAACTTTACCGATTGAAATTCAATAATACATTCATATTTAGTCTCAGAAATACATACATACATACATAGATTCTCAAACTCCGGACTAATTTGATCTGTCTATTTCACTTTGGTTGTTTTGTTTGCCTTTTCGGTCTGTGCTTTGTGGAATTCCATTCACATTAGGGCTGGGACTGCTTGGGCCTTGGGTATTTCTTATTTGTTTTTCGACGAATTCTCGGAAATTTCGTCGCTGCTCCACACGCAATGAAACAAAAAGCCGGTTGAAATCATTTGGAATGGAGTCATCTTCTGCTGACGAAGCTCCTTGGTCTCTGTGCGCAAAAGATCAACGCACACATACACGTACATAAGTTGTTGGATGCCAGGATGGTACGTCAAAAGGCATTCCTTAATTTCTAGGTGGTCGGTATGAGAAACTCTTAATGGGGAGCACAAATTCTTGTGTTTCACGTTTCCATTAAATCGGACCTTTAGCCTTCATGTCGGTAAGTCTCCAGAAAAGATGGGCAATGAAGCAGCAACTAATTCGCAACGTAGTCGATGAGCGGACTACATACATATCTGCAGAAGCAGTTTTCTTTATTATTGAGTGTGCCTATCAGTGCATATACATATGTATGTCTCTTTTGCAATTGTATTCAGCAAAATAGCTCGTTTTGGTACTACTTACTTAAAGGCCCATTTTAAGAAATATGAAAATAGGGGTTTAATACCGTGTTTCATGGGGAAATAAATGATGTATTTATTATCTATGTATATATACTTGCAATGCAGTAACCGAATTATAAGGAAGACATACACATTATTTGATCGCTTATGGGTCCAAAAATAAGAAAATCTTGGAAAGCAAATAAGTCGCGCCTCAATAACTGATCAAGTAATAATTTGATTTTTCCTAAGAAAATAATATTTAAAGAATTAATGGATTTGAATGGTTCTCATCTGCCCGTTAACTTTAAACCCTTTGACAATCAGAATTTTGAATATATGAGTTTTAACTCTTGCTATTACATTTAGGAACTTTAAAATATTTTTGGTTTGTTTGCTTGCTATAAGAATTTCCTTGGAGCTCAGCTTAAAAGATAACGCTGAGCAAGAGAAACTTTCAAATTCTAAATCGAATCGATCACTTGTTTCTGACGAATTAACTTTTGTATTTGTACTAATAGTAGTAAATGAAATTCCAAAAAGGACATTACAAGTCCATAATAAAATGATGACTACAATTAAGTTCAGTTTTTACATTACCATTTCATCTTAATATTGGAGGGATCGCATGTATGTATATACATATATGTACTCGATTGTGTACCTTTAATACCTGGTCAACTATTCTTTCTCATAGGTATTACCACCTTGAACATTTTTCAGTAAAGGTTTTAAAACACAACATTTTCCTTTATATGTAGTACAGTGGATGGTAGACAAATATACTAATGACATATTCGGAACGATATTGGTGGCAAGTCTTAAAATATCATCGCAATGTGGGACACATTGAATCACAGTGAATCCGAAATTTCTTCAAAACCTAAAAATTTTGACATTCAAAACCCGTAGAGAAATTTATGGATTTTGATACTTCACTTTATGTTAACACTATCTGCATAAACAATATCCATAGCTTATCCTGCTCTAAAGACAAATTGCTTTTAAAATCTTAAGATCATATTGGAAATACCGAACGGTTTTAAAATTTTACCTTCCCTCGTACATTAGGAAGAGAATTTAAGGGGGAATTTATATTTTAACCACACACTTGTCAACTTTAATTTTTAATACTTTCAGATCTTCAATCCAATTTTTTGATTCATGTTATTTATTTTGGTTTGTTTTTGAATAATTTAACGCAGAATAAAATAGTTGCTGACAAACGTTTTGTAAATCTTACCTTTTTGGTTGTAAGTCATTTTTCAAACAGACATATATTTATATATTAAATAAGTTTATATATTCACAGTTTTGTTTTAAAATTTTAAAAATTAAAAAACGGAAATCTTTTACACTTCGCTATGAGTTAGAATCTTTCAAGTGGAGATTAGCGCGCTTATTTTCACAGACACGTGGGTCCTGCGTTAGTTGGCCGGCGGTTTACAGTTTGTGTTGTGTCCTGCGACATGTTTCTAAGTGAACTAAGCGCCAGGCAGGCACGCGTTATCCTTTTATACGATGTCGCCAGTGCGCACTTATGAGCACTGCGCGAACCATTCTAAGGACTTACGTAGACGACGACAACAACAGCACAGAAGCGTAGGCAAGGCGCCGCCGCCGTCTGCGGCAAGTTGCGAGCTGGACGCCAACGTCCCCGTCCCCCCTGACTTCTGACTCATTATCAATCGCGTCTGGTACTGCTAGCGAGCAATTGTTAGAGTGCTTGTGTGAGTGTACTACTATGGTACTCGTAGGTAGTAAATACAAGTACAATTTTGTGCAGTTTTTGTTTTTTGGCTCCAAGTTAACGGTGCGTGCTGGACGAGTCAGCGTCCGCACTGCCTTCATCATAACTGGCCTCTTAGTTTGTTTATGCGGACGCACTGGGATAAGCAATGCATGGGTCAAGAAGGAGAACATGCATACAAGTAGGTGTTTGGTGGTTGGCTAATGAACGGCGGCTGTTATAAGAAAATCATAAACTGTTTAGGGCATGACTTTTGAAAATACCGGCGGCAAAAATAAATAAAGTTATACGTAGTTGGCGACACTTGGCGTCTAGTCCCCATGGTGTCAAAGCTAAAACCGTATATACATACATACATATGTACATATGTATGTATGTACATATGCATGTCTGTATAGAACTTTGGCGCAGTTTCGTTTTGCGATTGTTGGCTGCCGCGGTGCCGGCCGCAGACGGCGACTGGCGGCTGAAGCCAACTAAACAACGCCAGCCATAACAACAACAACAGCAGCAGCCATAGCGACAACCCTCCAGGAGAAATTCCCACACCCTCTGCCCCGTCCCCGTCCCTGGCCCAGCACCAGCCACAGCTAAAGTAACAACAGCGGGCTAAATGCGGCCTTGCACTGTGGTGACAAAAACAAAGCAGATGAGAAAGTTGGAACTTACAAGTGCTTTAGATAATCCCAAACAGTACGGACATACAAACACTTATTAACAAAATATGCGAAATAATAAGTTTATGCTCGACTTTTTTAACACATATGTACATACATATTTCACAAATAATCCCGACTTCTCTTTGCACCTACATATACAATATGTACATACTTTTGTTATCACAGATAATCCGTCCGAATCAAATTGGGCCATAGCCCTCAACTCATGTTCTTCTTCAATTTGGAAGTTTTGAAAAAATTCGAAAAAGTTGTCTCACCAATATGAAATTTGTGAAATTTAATTAACTTTAATTAAACCTTTCTGAATGGGTAAGGCATACTAATTTAATTGGGATACTATTGCAGAACATTTAATCGAAATCTTATGAAGTCAGTGACACTGTGCGGCGCCGAGACTTTGGCGCAACGCGAAGAGTGCGACAAAGAAAGCGGATGGTGCCCAATGCCCGGCGTCAGCGACATAATCACGTTGTAAATATGATGCCGCTGCCGTTATTTGCCGCCAATTTCAAAACGATAACCAACCACATGAAAAACAATCAGACAATAAAATGTGCACGACTGGGGCGACACAAAACAAACAATTTTGGAAACGCATACTCATGCATATTCTTTTAAATGTACACACATACATGTTTATATACATATGTATGTTTGTATGTATATCCATATGCAGAAGCAAAATCGTCGGTTGTACATAAAACGATATTTATTTATCAATACTTAATTTATACTCATAAATACATACATACATGCATGCATGCAATATATACATAATGTGTCAATGCAATGTTATTGAATTTGATTGATTTTGTTCTTGTCACTTACTAGAGCGAACAGTGGTTAAAAAAGTGCAGATGAGAAACACTTGTAAGTTGAATTTATGTACATATGTATGTATAGTATGTACATATCTGGCAATTGGAAATTGATTCATACGCAAATGTATAGACACCGCTAGACAATAGGCTTCAGATTCAAAATATAAAAAAACGGCCCCTGTTTCAATAAAACACTCATTTTTCTAAACATCCTTTAATGATTATGCTTTTCAGTCGGTGGTATTTAAATATTTCAGTCAAGTATTTATTTCACATATTAACATACATACATATATAGTTCTATGTTCAAAAAATTAATATTTTGATAAAATAATGCACGATGCATTTAAAAAATATCTTATGCATATGATCAATGAAAAAACTTGAACAAATCCAACTCAGATCCATTTTAAGGCGAAATAGTACGGCATACTAATGTACGTGTGGTCGACTTTATATGGAAAAATGTTTTCTAGTGGGGGGCGGCCCCCTCTCCCCTTTCCCCCACTGCCGCTCCCCCTGCCAGCGCCCTTGTATCACGACACATGTTCATTTTTTCTTCCTTTTTATGTATTAATTAACAACTATATTCAAAAGGGGCTGTCGGAAATGGGATCAACATATTCATATTATTCGTTAAATGTTCAGGTTCAAAAAGGGTAGAGATCATGTAATTCTTTTTCTTTCCAAAATACGTGTCCATACACGTATTTATTTACATCGTTTGGGGCTTGGCGTCGTCTTCATTATCGTCGCTGGGAGTGGTGGCGCTGGCGCCGAGAAAACCAAAAACAATGACGGGGGCATCACTTGTCATCATCGCCGCGACCATTTTCGCATCTAATTGTGAAGCCAGTGGCATTTGACGCGACAATGGTGGCAATAATGGCGTCCAATGGCGCACACTCGTTTGTTTGCAAATCAAAGCTCTGTATCCGCATCCGCTCCGTTGTCCTGCACGAACTGTGCTACTGTTTGTGTCTTATGTCTCGACATAGTCGTCGCCGCCGAAGACCGAGCGACGGCGACAGAAACTCGCCGCCACTTGTTACGCACTTTGGCGCCTTCTTCATGGCGAAACCATGGCGGCGTCAGTCACAACGATGGCGCCGGCTCCGGCACTTCGGCGGTGAAAAACAAAACGCAGACAGCCGGCGCTAGCGCGTCTTTCCACAACGAGCTGCCGCCAAGTGAGTTTATGTGGATTTTGGGGTGCCAAACAGCCAGTGCTTGTTGTCTGACTGGGACTAGGACTGGGTCTGGGCCTGGGCCCAACTGGACGGGCATCAGGCGTCAGCGTCCTGCTCATAACAGGCCATGTAAGAATAATCTGCCTATATTAAAACCTTATAGTACTATATACATACATATGTATGTATATGACGAAACGGGTATTTCGGTAATTTTCGGTATCTGCGAAATTAATTAATTTACAACTTAATTTACATGTGGTATTGAGGCAAGTGAATGAATCGGCTTGAAAAATTCAATTTTTGTTCCCTGGCTGCTTCAAAAATTAGTCCAAAACCGATGTACATATAATGACTATGTTTATTTCATCTGGTTTGATGCGAAAATTTCAGCGATATAACTACATTCGAAAATAGGTAATTTATAAGGTTGCAGACCCACCAAAGTATATACATATATTCTTGATCAGCGTGACAAGACGAGTCGATCTAGCCTTCTCTGTCTGTCTGTCCGTATGAACATCTGGATCGCAGAGACTATAAGAGCTAGAGACACCAAATTTTGCACAAAGATGCCTTATGTGTGTACGCAGTTCAAGTTTGTTTTATTTTTTTTATTTTCCCCCACTACCCCCTATGGGGGATTTCCCGATTTTCGTATTATCGCCTATATCTCAGAGACTATAAAAGCTAGGGACGCCAAAATTTAGTCCCAGATGTGAATACGCAGAAAATGTGTATTTTTTGAATTTCCCTCCCTCCCTCCTCACCCCCCGCAACCACTAATTGTTTGATTGATTTTTCTTTCAAATTCGGAAAATTCCTCCAGTTAGTAATCATAATAAATCCGTATGCCAAGTTTCATAATGATAGGCCCATTTAACAGGAAGTTATAGCCATATATGAATATATGACCAAGCAGTGGTCGCAGCTATTGATGTTTTTACTGCTTTGCACAGGCACACAGACACACACAAACATACACGCATAATTATTAAACACATATGTACAGAGTATTTAAAAGTTGGGAGACCCGACTTTTGTTTCTCTACTTGTTTCTTCCCGTGGCTGTTCTTTTTCATAAACTTTTTTAGCTTAGTTAACTTAGAATTCGACAGTAGATGGCGGTAGTTTGAAAATTTGTAAGAAGTTCTGATATTCCCTACTGAATAATGCGGATGTATTTAATATAAATCAATACTTTTTTTAAGCTTCGCTGTAGCGTTTGTTCAAGAGAGCTCAACTGGTAGTGATCGATTAACACATAATATTTATCGGTACTACTAGTTCAAATTAGTTTACCTTGATCAGCAAAAGATGGCGTTGTTCGAATTATCCACTAGTATTTATCCACTACGATTTATGGTAATTTAGCTTGAATTTTGAAAGCCTTGCACATCTTAATATATTTTATTGGTAAAATTAATATATAAGTAGATCCGCACTACTTTTATCGGTTTTTTATAAACGTGAAAATATTAATCATCGTTGTTTTTTTGTATGACCCCAATGCAACCATTAACACCGTGAGGCTGGATTCTAATGTATTAAGTTCCAGTTAAACGTTATTGAAGAGGTTTTAAAAAGTACTTTACATCACACATTGACTGAAGAATTAGATATGAGAAAGTAAAAACAACAACGTGAGAATTATTCATTCCATAATTAATTTAGCAATATTGTCGAGTTTTTGCAATAATACATAACCATGGCTTGGCTCTTGGGTCTATCATAGTACACTTTAGACGAAGTAACCCTATAAACAACAATCTCAAACGGAAGAATCTTCTCTTAGGAAAACAAAGATAGTTTAAGTTCAGTTTTACGAGTACAAAGTTTGTTAGTTTTCAGCGAGTATAGAATGAAAGAAAAAAAATTGACATAAAGCGATCTTTTTGCAGCGTTAGTTGAAAATTACTAAATAAGGGTATACATACAAGTATATACTACTTGTCTATACATTTTTGGTACGAGTTTGTAACACCTATAAGAAATAATTGCATACCGCATTATGGTTTTCCATAGCTCCGAGTCTTCTTTTTAAAGGACACTTGTGGTAAGAAAGCGGTCTAGAGACTTCATCAACATAATTCGGCTTATTTCTTTTCATTCCATAGGTTTTTGAAAGGGTTTGAATTAAGAAAAAGTAAGTTCGACGCGATGGTCACATATCCCCAAACAGTGAACACAAAATTGAGGTTCTGAACTGGAAACTGCCCTCATTTATAAACAATGCCTTTTTGTTTTTGCTAATTAGACTAGAAATTAAACTCGATATTTTTGAGCTACAGCATCTTATTACAATTTTTCGCGAGCCAGCATAGCTTATCCGTCAGGCGCACCCAAATATGACATAAAATTCATATGGATTTAAACAGATTAATCAGGTTACCGTTAATGCTGGAGAACCAGACACAAATTTCTTGCGGCTGATGATACCTCGTCACTCAGTGAACACGGCTGAACTTATGAATTGGATTAAGATTAGGGTTCTAAAACTATTATCTCCATTAATTTTACATCCCGAGCCGCCAAAGAATTGCTTCGGTTTCGACTAGTCTAGACTATGCCTGCATCAATGCATCATTTATACTTCTATGTTAACCACGTTAAGAACCATAAAGTTTTATTGCCTAGCTTAGGATATGTGTTTTATGACTGAATGAATGACATGGCTTATTAACATCTTTGCTGTTCTGCATTCAGTCCAGTCGCCTTTATCTGCCTCAGTTTCATGACTCAACTAATCCTGAAACAAATAAGCTTTGGATCAATGTTTGTAAAGTTGTAATAAGAAATAAAATAATTTAATATTTATAAAACAATTGCAAGTAAAAATGTTGTTCCTAGGTGTAGCATGGCATACCAAGATGCCAGGCCGACATGCATTGAAGAAAGATCAGAAAAGTCGCTGACGGTCGGCTCTTCTGGCGATTTTTTATTCGGTACCATGGTTGGAACATTTACCCATAGTCTTATTAGATGAAATTTCTAGACCTAAATATATGGGTGTTACTGATTTGGTGGTACGCAGCCATACACCCTCCCATTGAATGAGGATGTTGTAGATAGTAGTAATTATTTTAGCATATCAGTATAATAAATCCAAATTAATTGATGCACCTTATTTTGTTTCGTGCAACCTCCGGCTAGTGCTTGATAATACAATATAGTTAAGCTCACCATGTGTTTTTTTCTTAAACATATTTTTAAAGCCATAATCTTCTGTGATTTTAAACAAATATATACCACTCTATAGTATTTAAATTAAGTTGAAGATATTATTGTATTTGAAATGAAAAATGCTAAGTTGAACGTGAACATACACATGCGGGTTATTATTTTTCATAAATACATAACAACATTGTATTTTGTGCACGTTTATTACATACAATTTATTTTATTGGGGATTGGTTTACTTTTATATAACAAATTAAATGAAGAGATTGTACACACATATAAGAAGAAATGATAGGGGGCAGGGGAGAAAATAAGTCTTTTTTAAAGTTTCCTATCTATTTACAAGAAGACTTGTCATGGCACGCCTTCTGCAACGGCGATTTACATATATTTTTTTCCAGACTCCCGTTCTCGTCGCTGCTGTTTTCCATGTCCATTCAGTGTCTTGCCATTCTTAACGTCTCTACCATTGATGCGGGTAGAAGGAGGCGCCGCCTCTCCAGCTGCATCCGAATCTTGACCTGTGCCTGTCGCCGTCATTTCTGTAAGCTCAACGGCGCAACGGCGTGGAAACCATCCTCGTATATGACCTTTTCGTCGCTTCTGCTTATTATCCGCCAATTCCAGATCGCTGAGCACACGCTCTCCAAATAACCAATGCTTTCGGAAACGGGTCACCTTTATCACATCTTCGGGCAGCAGGCGAATGCGTGGCTCGTCGGTGCATGGGGCGGCCGTACATACGCGCCAGCCCTGAGAGAAGATCGGCAGCCAGCGACCGGAGACCGGTGCGATGCACTTAAAGGTGCGTGTGCGGGCGCGCTTCTCCTGCTTCTGTGCCAATTGCTCACGCTGCAAGAGAAATTAAAAATGAATGCCACGTCATTGGATTTAAAACAGCGTGGCACGTACGGTCAGAGTGTATTGATCACAGCCCTCTAGCACAGGCCATTCAATGCCGTCACCTTGCTTTTGGCAATCGTCATTGAAAACCTGCCGCAAGTTAAGACGCCAACCCAAGTCGTAAGGATAGACGAAATCATCTTTAGCGATGTTAATGTAGCGGCGATATAGCGCCTTCTCTACAATCCAAATTTCAATGCCTGTCTGATTCTTCACAATGGTTTTGAGCTAAAAATAAACAAATATATATCAATACGACTGTACGACTGTATTGGGATTCAAATATACGATGACATACTTGTATGAAGAGTAACATGCTTAGACCGATGACGACTCCAATAGCCAGACCCATACCCAAAATGCACATAATAATGCTGGTAATGTTGAAGTGAACGCTCGCCAAGTGCTCCAGTCCGTGTGTTAAATAGTAAAAGCGATAGATGCCACGATAGAAGGCGCAGCAGAGCACTACCGTGCCTTGCAGGCTACCCAGAATGGAGAACAGCAGGAAATACGTGAAATAGGCATGATTTGCCCAACCCACACAATGATTGATCCAGGGACAATGATGATCCATTTTCTTCACGCAACGCCCACCTATAAATATACGAAATATAGAGCAGCATTCCGAAATAATTTTAGGGGCCTGCACAAACGATTTTTATGACTCCCTTGGTTACAACAGTCACGTTTTAAAAACAATAACAAATTGAAAAATATTTAATTATATTAATTGATTCATAATAGTTTCACAGTGGTATTGATTTGCTTTTCTAGATTTTCTTTCTTGGCATATTTTGGGTTAGTGCCACAATAAAACTTCTGGTTGGAACTGGTCTATAACTGTACCAGCAAGTTCATTTGAACTCATTTCAATAATAGACGAAATAACTGACGTATTACATACTTTCTGGGACGGTTGAAATATATATTTCATCGTATGCAGTAATATAAATCTTACAAAATCACCGCTGTTAATCTTTAAAACATACTCGTAGCTCTAATTATTTCATTGTAATAATAACTTTCATAGAAAGAACATAACCACCCATTTCAAGGCTATAATATTCGACTGGTCATTTAGATTATAGTGTGGAGCATTATATACAGAAAGCTTGTTAAGAGCTGCATGTTCCTCTACTTACATTTCCGACAGTGGTGCGAGCGAGGAGCCTTGTAGCCCTCACACTCCTTGCAATACTGTAAAAACTGTGTGTCCTCGGGCACCTGAAAATTGAAAATATGCGAATTATAGGTATTATATTCCTTGGGTAATTTGACTCGCTTTTGGGCCACTAAACTATAAGAGCTACATGAACAAAGGTTAACGATGCGTGAAGTTTCCAAAGCTCATAAAATGGAGCAGCAGCACAAGCCCTAAATATCGTAAATGTCGCCCGAAAATTTCATCCACCTGCTCTACCGCAGCATTATGCATATGCATACAAATATGAATATGGAAAGCAGGCAATAAGTCTGCGGTTCTTGCCTACAAAACATTTATGCAAATTCAACTAATTGCATTACGGTTGCGCTCGCGTGCAGGACCAAAAGCTGAGCCCGTCACAATGCCGCAGCGAGTCGTAAATTTATGACTGTTGAAATTATTAGTGTCGAAAAACGTTCACTGCCCCAGGTAGGTAGCCAGTCAGCCAGCCAGTTAGCTAGACGGCCCCTTTCGGTTGCCTAGGTAAGAGCTTGCAACGTGTTTACTCAATTGTTAGAAATAAATTGCAGCGTTTAATTGCGCAACACGATAAAGGATTAGGCACGCAAGGCTCAGCTCTACGAACTGCATTCGGTCAAAGGCGTCGCTAATGAGTTGGCGCCATTTGTAGCAACACATTTGTGCATGTGAATTCAATTTGTTAAACCTATTTCAAGTCTATATATTAAATAATAAATAACGTACCGAGCACTTAATATTGTAATTACCATATCGTCTGTTCAATTCGAATCAAACAGTTCCTTACGTTGTTATAACTCAGTAATCTGATTACCACAACAAATATTTTTAGGCTGGGGTTAACGAATATAATAAAATCTTCTAGGCTAACATTTCAAAGGACAGAAAAAAGATCTACAATATAATAATCTTGAGTAATGGAGGACGCACACTACACTTAAGTTTAAAAGCTTCTCAGATAACTTCAAATACAGATTTCTATGAAAGGTTTGCACTTAGATTCGTTTCCGTCTAGGTTTTATGATTCTAACTTGTAAGTAGACCACTATATCGACTAAGTGCTATAGTTAAACGTAAGCAGCGCAGCGGAAGACCACAAATCGCCACGGAAGTCCTGTGTAAACAGCCACATCCGATTATGACTTGACGAATAGATTTGTCGACAGCTTGTGTGGCAAAAGAGCCTCTAATATCTAAACTGGTCAACTGGCCTCGGCTGTCAGTTGTCGACAGAAAACAATGGATGCATAGGCCAACCATTCAAGACACGCAACTAGGATTTCCCATTTAAACCGAGAGATATTGTAAAAGCATAATCGCAGTAGTTAAGTTAGTTAGGCTTCGGTTGTTAAGTTCTTAGATATGTAAATAGGTGGGCATTTAAATTGCGTTGATGCCAAGCACCTTAGATTAAATACAGTGATATCAGTGGAAAATTCTAGAACGACACCTCCCTACTTGAATAACGTTGCAAGTGCTGACATAATGTACTCCGAATAGGGTTTGGCGGGACAGAGTTTTGTACAGCTGGAAACATTTTCATGCATGACCCTCCAACTACAGCAACAGTCCGACACGACAAAATGTTTTATTATTTCCGTGTGCCCATTTGTGGGCCAGCCTGTGCCATTTAGGGCGGTGGAGGGGGATCATGCCATTCATTTATTACCTTGGGCTGCCAATTCTTTGGCAGCAGGCCGGGACCTGTTAATGTCGCCATGACGTAATTAAATGTGGCTAACGTGGAGAGCAGCAGGAAAAAAGCCTGATGTGCGAAGCCCCCAAAACTCTGGTTCGGTGGCCACCACATGGAGTTCATGTAGAGTGTTGTCAGCGTAATGCATTTTATGATGCCTGCAAAGGGAGAAAGAGATGAGAAATAGAGATATGAATATTTAATTAAAAAGCCAATAAAAAGGGCGGTCAAATAATTTAGTTGTTTAAACAATGTAATTGCACGGAAATAACCAGGCGAGGGTTGAGCTCGCAGTGGTACGTTAGTCGTGCGTGTCGCGGAAATTAAACACATTTATTTGTTCTCTTCAGGTCTTTTTTATACTGTTTCGCAATTTAATTAAACGCTAAAATGTCCAAGAGGAACAGGTTTTCGAATTTATTTGAGTACTCGCTGCCTAATTTGGCATATCCATCGAAGCCGCCCCAGCGGCAAGCAACAAGCGTTTCTAATTCAGTAATTACAGGTACATAGTATGTAAATATTAGATGTTTTATTCATGTAACTAGTTCAATATCAAGGTTGCTGGTTGCCCTACCAATGGCACAGCCTACTGCGAGGAGGTACTTGGCTTGATAAAGCTAAATAGTCGAATTGCACGCCATGCTGAGCGAGGCATGAGTCTGGGGGGCAACGCACAAAGACGCAATAAGTTAATTGTCCGCGTGAAATTTTGAATGAACAAAATTGGACACAAGCGCCACTAGCTGGTAGCTAGTAGTTCTACATATTGAAACCTGGTAGAACACAATTAGCGTAGTACTTTGCACGAATTAAGGGGCAGCAACTTCTTGCAACGGATGTGGTGTGATATGGTGTGCTATGGCAGCAGCGGCGGCGCCCTCTCAATGACCGCCTTATAGTATTAAATAGACTGCAGACAAACGTTGCTGTAATGTCATGTGGGTGTAGCAGGGGCTCACCCACTCCAACGCCCATTCATTAGTCAAACAGTGTAATTGGAGCTAGTTTTCGCCAAAATTTGTTTTTCTTACATATGTTGCAGTTCATTCACATTGTAGTACATTTCTAGACAGTGGGCATATCGCTAAGTAGTTCACTTACTCAGCGCTGTAATTGGACCCCAATGAAGAAAACGACGAAAGGCACTCATACTGCTTGTTTGGTCGACCGAATATGTTTACGATTTGTTTGTGTAAACAATTTGTTGCTGCTTAAGGTATTGAGATAAACGAACACATAACAAGTGAAACACGACAATTAGTAAATTAAGTGGCTTAAACGGAATTTTTTAATTTAGATGGCCATTTAAATAGTAATTTGCTAATATCCTAGAATCTTCAGCAATTTAACAATCTAATATACAAGTAGAACTGTCGGGATTCTGATTATGACTGTCACTTTGATTCTCTTATGTTCTCTCTCGTTTTATTCTTTAGTGTGGCCGAACATTAAAACCGGCAAAATACTATAACCCATTTGTGAATTTGGGAACTGTATTACAGCGTAGTGGCAACTCTGTTGCCAGAACCAATAATTAGACTTGCCACTGAGTCGTATAACAGCGCGTGATATGTCCGGCCAAAAATGTTTTTTTATTCTCTTACAAGGGGTAACTGCAACAAAAACAAACAAAAATTCAATCAAAACTAAGTTACTTAACGCTGGAAGGTATCGCTATTTACACCCCCTTTAGGGGTATTGGCAGTCGAAACGTCAACTTTAAGTCAACAAAACAGAAAGAAAACAAATAAAATAAATTACAAATTCAATTTGTAATGATTTATGGTTGATCATTTTGACATTTTTAATTACCAAAATTAAGTTTTTATGGTTGTAATTAAAATTATTAGAAAACTCGTGTGCAGGAACGCACTCACACTTTCATTGTTTATTGCTTTTGTTGTGGTGTAGATTTGTATTAAAGACTTTTTTAGATGTATGTATGTATGTCATTTTTTATAATTATCAAGATGGCTAGCAATAATTGCACTCATCTGGCAGCATCTATAATATCGAATCTGTCCATGTGTTCGTTTTTAGAAGCGGTTTCAATACATCGATATACGCAGCGTTACATGCCTGCGACTCCACGACATTTTCGATACTTTTCTGCTTTGCTGCTTGTGAATCGCAGTCGAAGAAAATCTTTGAGCGAGAGAAAAGCGCTCACGCTTGCTTTTTGTGGAAGGGCGGATGAGTGTTGCGCGAGTTTAATGGTTTTTTCGACAAAGAAAAGCCAGTTTTTCGTCTTGTTTTGTTGCAAATTCAACTTGTTTTAAAAGTTTTAATAAAACGACGCAATTTCCCAATGAAGAAATGAAGTTTAAGTGATTTCTGAGTGGTAAAAAAGCAAGCCAAAGTCACGCGTGTGCAAAACGAATACGACACAAAAAAATGAATGCGAAGCAAAGTGCAAAAGGCATTAACAAATTAGCACCGAATATAGAAAAGCAGAAACTATGAATCGCATTTAAAAAATTAGTAGTATTGTGAAAATTTCAGCAAAAATGTGCATTTAAATTTGAATATTCCGAGAAAAGTGGAAATAACAAAGCAGCAAGAGCGATCACAGCAACGCAAACATATTGAAAACAGTGTGGCCAAGGCAGCAGCAGTAGTAGTCCCGTATTTGTTCGTTGTTGCGTACTCGTATTTCTTTTGTTTTGTTTGGTTTCTGTGGACGTCGTGAACAGCACACACACACAAGCGTACATACAACGCCGCCGTTCGTCTCGTATTCGTTTTTGTTGTTGCTGCCCCTGTACGTGTGCGTCAGCCTGTTCGCGCGACTATCTCCGCGGCCGTTTTGCATGCCCACTCAGTAAATTTGTATGAGTGTGTGTGTGTCTATTTGTATGCGTTAAGGCAAGGACGACGCTTTTTATTGGAGCGAATCGGCGCCAAGTCATACGCATTTTGAACGAGCGGTGCAGCCATCGAGTGCACATCGAATTGCACTGGAGCAGCCGTCATCGCTGGCAGAAGCAGTTGTGGCGCTAATTGCTGCTGCAACGCTCCTCTAAGATGGATACTTTCCGCAAGTGGCTCAATAAACCAAAGGTGCGTAATTATGTTACATTGATAATAAACCTACTTATGCATTTTCGCGACCTGCCTGCCTCTGATAACCCAAATTACATTCAAACGAACAATCATATGCATATGCATGTGTAGTAATATGTAGATAGGGTTATTAATCAATGTGCTGGTGCTGTGTTTGTAAAATCACGGTACTAGTATAGAACTGTGTAATGAACAACAACAACGCAAATGGTGTCAGTCAGCTAGACAGCAGAGTGCGCAGCGGTTAAAACTTGCTTGTGTTTCGTGTTAACTGTGTTGTGACGTCAGCGTTGAGCTGTTTGGCCCTGGTACAAGCACTCATTTTAATTTAACCTCCTACCCTCCCTCCTGCCCTTGTGTTGCCCCCACTAGCTAGGTGGGTTTTAACCGCATTTTTGTTTTCCTCATCGATGGCGCTGGCAGTGATATTGTTGTTGTTGCAGTTGGCTTTGCGGCTGATTGGACTTGCATGATTAATTCTCATTGCAATAGCATAGCAAAAGCGGCTGCATTAACATTATAGAAGTTCTAGCTCAATTCAAATCAGAAACATGTGGGAAATCACAAACGCTCTGTAAAAACAAAACAAACCAGCAACAGGGCCGTTCCTCAGTTGCCTTCGTGTAGTAAATTGGTTATTAGCGCTATAGTAATTCCAAGTTTTACTTGATTTGGAATAACCTGAGTAGTTTCATGCATACAAACATGTATTCATGGTCAAAACAAAAGAAACACTAAGCGAGCTGCAGTCAAACAAATTAGTAATTTTCCTAAAAAAAATAAAAATTCCATACTTATTATTGTTATTATTATTTCTAACAAGTAAAAAAGCTTAAGTCGGGCGTCTTGACTTTGAAATACTCTGTACATATGTTTACAATAATTATAGAAATTTAAAAACTTAAGAGAATTAAAAAAAAATTTTTGTGCGATATTACCTCTCTTGGTATTCAAACTCACGTAAAGGGTGTATGAATGTCTGTGCGCGTCTATTCGTGTATGTGTAACATCAACAACAGCACAGAGTATAAAAAGCCAACACCACCCGGAAGTGGGGTTTTAGGTTAAATTCATTATAATGGGCTTAGTTAACCGATTATTTTGATATGGAGCGTATGTGCTATAGTCTATTTTGTTTTGAATTTTGTCTCTTATGTTAGTAGTAATAAATAACAGTTGGGGAATTTTTCGAAATAATTTAAAGGAATATCTTGTATAAATACCCACGCGCATTCTCCAAAATGTATAGTATATGGAAATTGTGCTTGTCACTGACAATATTAAAGTTATTGAACTTTAAGAGCAGCCCCAACAATGTGTTGCCGCTTCTTCCAAATTTAGACGCCCCATACCTGAAAGCACGTTTGTAGGCGCAGTTGTCAGGAATATTTCAGTGTGCGTTCAGGGGTCATAACTTTTTAGCAGCTCTAAAAATAAACTCTCATAAAACGCAGTGAGAAGTTGCTCTCGAGTCCCTATCTAAGGGTGTTGCCCCACAGTTCTCTTTAATTGTCTGCTAATCTCTGTTGGAAATAGTATGCGTCAACTCGATGACTGGAATTATAATGTGATAATATTGACATTTGATAATATTTACTCACTGAAAATGATATTTCAGTGCTGAGGCTAAAGGATGTCATTATGGAAGATGGTCGAAAAGCATTTTGGTTTTGAGTTCAATCGTGCAAAATACAAGTCAAGACTCCTCAAGAAATTTTTGACAGGCTAACTCGCAATCTTTTTATTGGATAGACAAAGACTCTACTATTTATTAAAAGGTTAATGAACTGCCCGAGGTTTTTGGTCTGTTATTCCTAGTGCATGCCAAATGGGCTGAGATAAAAAATGACTTGGGTCATCACCATTCGCCACTTTATTGTTCAAGTGTGTTCTAACTTCAACGATTGTTTTTGGAAGTGTATTGTTTTGTGCGTATGTAGATAAAAGTGGGTAATAAAGTTGGCGGCAATTTTCACGCGGATTCATTAAATTTGTGCGATTGCGTGCGTGAATCTGGAGGTCAACAGAGCCAGTGTCAGTTGGAATTATGAAATATTAAAAAACGATTATACAATGCGTGTACGCTTATACAATATTATAAGCTTAGACATTGATTGTAATGCGATTGTGATGTCTATATCTAATTTTAAGGCTCATAGCAATGTTCCTGTAGGTAATACAAAATTTTATAATAATATTTGATATGTAAATTGCCTTTTAAGCTTTATGCTAAGTGTGCTGAGAAGTTAACTTCATTTCTGCCGAAACTATTTATCCCTCACTATGACTTACAAATAAACTGTTTTCTTTTATAGTCATGTACCACGTGTTATACATCCTGCTGCATTCACAAAGGAACTATTTACATACATACTTACTATATAACTGGGTGTCAGGTTTTTTAAATTAAAAAATTTTGCACCATTTCTTTCTGTATTCTAATTGTGTTAATTTAATATAACGACATTCTACCCAAAATTATGTATGTACATATATGAAGATTTATTACCTGCATTATCTGCGTCCTTTGTATTATCGTTATTTTTGTTTGTCTCCAAAAGTGTGTGATGTTTCATTTCGCATACAAGTGTTTGGTGGAGAAATAATTATAAACTTCGTTTCCTACCCTTCCGAAATTTTTTATCAGCCTGCAGTTCCTTCACTTGGGCTGCTTTATTAACACACTTCTTGCGCGTGCTTTTTATTTGCTTGCTTCAAAACTTACATTTTGCCGTCGCGCCCGATACCCTGGCGGTTGTGGCTCATAAATAACGTTACATTTTCCTGGTTTATTGTGTGCAGTCACGCGAATGCGGGCAGGCAGCACCTATCGCGACTGAATGAAAGAAGCGTGGAAGAAAACTCACCGCTTGAACGAAATAGAAAATGCATAGCTTTAAGTTTTCCGTTTGCGCTTCTCTTTCACTGACTGCACACGAGTTTTTCCGCTGCCGCAGTAACGTCTTTCTTCTTTGCAGCTATACTTCCTGGTCTTTTTCAGTTGTTGCTTTTCATGTTTGTTGTTGCGGCAACGAGCTCGGCATTCTTTTATTTTGTTTGTGCTTGCAATTCTCAGCACTTGCATTTGCTGTGTATAAGTTACGAGTACTGCACTTAAATACATTTTAAATTTCAATAAACGCGACACGTTCTGCTTAATTCAACTTTGCAAAATACAGAGGGCGGACGTTTGAAAGTCTGGGAGCGGCTTCATAGTTCGTATTGGAAAATTTACATTTAATTTCTTGTTTACTTTGCTTGCCACCAGCCGCCCACATGTCAGATTTCACAAGTGTTGCTAAACAAACGGTACAAATGCCATTTTCAAATTGTGTGGCAACTCTGTCTGTAGTAGTGTTTTTTGCCAATTGTTGCGAAGTTGGCTTGAATCGTCATTTTACTGAAAACGAAAACCGAAACAATACCAACAACTACGACTCGAATTTGCAATTCATTCATGCACTACACATTTGCATATTTGTACATAAATATGCTAAGCCAAACGAAACCCGGCAAAGCTCAACGAGCAAATATGTATGTATATAAATATTGTATACACATACATTCATTATCTGTGTGTGTGTATGTATAGGTACTGCAAAGTTCCATTCAGGCAACAATTGGTCTTGGGGCTGCAGCTGGAACTCGAATAAAAGCAAAGTCAGCGGTAAACAATTGGAGTGCAGTTGGTCTTACCTTACAGCATTAGCTTTAAGGCACGTTGAATCTTTTGTTGGGGGAAAGTGCGCGAAGGCAACGCATGCACAAGCGACGCAGACATATGGCGACATCACACCGACCTCCTACAGCCGCTAAGTCATGCCATAAATGAGCCAAAGGCGGCAACAGCAACTTCACAAATCGGGTCAAGTTGCTTAACGACACGAACAGCAGTAATAGAAACTGGAAAGAAAAATCCCCAGATTATGAATATTGGAGTCTCGATGTAATTAATTAAATGAGGCAACAAGGGATCTAGATACTTGAACAAAATTGTTTTTTCCCCATAAGGACAGATCGATATTTTAAAAGTCGCTAATTAATGATAAAATGCAGTGGGAAAGTATAATTCCTAGGTCCTTAGAGAAAAGTGAAACTGTGCTTTGGAAAAGGAGTCGATATACAGGGTGCGCCATCTTTTATGTCGGTATGTAAACATTGAATATCTTTGAAAAAAAACAACCGATTTTCAAGTATGAGATATTTTAATTTAATTTGGTTCTATACAATTTCTTGAGGTTTTCAATTGGTTCACTAATGACAAAGTTATTCAATATTTACGTACCGACATAAAAGATGGCGCACCTTGTACCATATTTTAAAACTAATTAAAAAGAGCAATTTAATTTTGATAATTCCTCACCAATAACAAATAATACTACGGTTATCTTTTAACAGTAGCTAACTTGATAAACTGTGACGGAATTTAGAATGTAGTTCGTGCTGTAAAGCAATATAATGTCAACTATATTGTAACTAAAAAAAAATGCATGCATTTTTATACCCTGTACCCGTAGGGTAAAAAGGGTATATTAGGTTTGTGCAAAGTATGTAACATACAGAAGGAAGCATCTCCGACCCCATAAAGTATATATATTCTTGATCAGCATGACGAGAGAAATCGATCTAGACATGTCCGTCCGTCCGTCCGTCTGTCCGTCCGTCCGTCTGTCCGTCTGGATGAACGCAAGGATCTCAGAAACTATAAAAGCTAGAATAACCAAAGTTGGCATCCAGATTCTCCTAGGTCCGAGAAAGGACGAGTTTATTTTATTTTTTGGAATTTTCCCCCCCTTCCCCCGCTACAGAATTTCGTCAATAGCGTCCACATTTCAAATGCTACCTAAACCAAACTTTGCACACATAATTTATATATAATTGTCTACTGTTGTTCATAATTTTATTCAATTCGGTCAATTCTAAGAAAAGTAATTAGCAAAACGAATTCTCGCCAGTACAACCCCCACAAACTGCAGCAACAAGTTCGCTCTTCTTCT